GTAATGCGTGCACTTCTGTACTGCTTATTGTACATCAGCCGTATTGATAAAAATATGCTTATTTACCTCTTTGCCAAATGTCAATTATTGCACATCTGCTATATCAATTGTAATTTGTAATGTATGTACCATGTATGTCTGTTCTGATGATTATGCAGCTTCCATATCCATCTGCTAGCATAATGCATGTAATATGTGCAAAGACTGCAAGGTTAATATGGTAGCAAGATCTTCTGAAGACACAAATTTTGCTAATGATATGTGGCCAAAGATCTTATGATATTTGCCCACTTGGGGCCAGGTGCAATCTGAAACATCAGGTAGAATTATCCTAAAATCACAGGTATAGCTGGATGTTGCAGAAACGTTATTAGAATCTCTAGAACTAAGTTTTACATTTTCTGCTGATACTTTTTATAGTCCAAATTTCATCAGTATTCTTTCTATTTTTCAGAGGGCTAGATCTTTTTGGGTAACCTACAATGAAAGTCACTGTGCCAGAAATTTCTTTTCACAATCGTGATCCTGTCTTGAGTGTGGATGTGCAGCACAACTCTCCTGATGATGTCATTCGCATGGCAACCGGGGGAACTGACACCCATGTTATTGTAAGGCTTGCTATCTATAATATATTATAACTACAAATCATTCAACAACTTTATTCACTGCAGCCATGTTCAATACATTTTCAGTCTGAATCTCAACACCATTGATATTTTCCCTTGATGAAAATATATTTTTTTACCAGCAAGTGTGTGGTATTTTAAAATTATGACTTTTCTTCTGTTTTCAGGTGTGGCAGTTGAATCCTTTACCAACTGGAGGCGTTGGTGTTGAGGTGTTGTGTGATCTTGTCCGCCATAACCGCTCAGTCAATGCTGTGAGGTTCTCTCCTGATGGGACGCTTCTTGCTTCTGCTGATGATGGTACTAAGTTAGATATTACACAAACTTCCCTTTAACTTTTAATTATGTAAAGTTTTTATATTTCAATCAATATAGATAAGCTTGGAAGAGGGCATAATTTAAAGTTAGAGGGCACTAGTTAGAGCCTCATAAAATGCCTGAGTTGTATTGCTTACTACTTTATGTATAATTAATAATAATTATTTCAACTAAATAATAGTATAACTTGTATAATTGAAGAGGCTGAATTAAATTTCAATCATAAAAAAATCGAGTTTTCCTGAATTTTATTAAATATTGTCAAAATCTTGAAGGTTTCAACTTTTTTTAGAATGCAATGATTTATAGTTAAAACCTATTAGAAAGGAAGATTATATTCAGTTGTCTCCTCTTGATTTAATTTGAACATTAGTAAAAACATTGGAAATTCTCAATTTCTTGACTTTTTTATGCTGTCCCACAAAATTCTTCCATTCCATTTTATATTCTTGCAAATGTTAGAATTAGCTAGAAATTCTAGAGCCCCTTCCTACCTCAGAGGCGGCAATTATTGTATGGAAGAAGCAAGAAGCATATAGCAGTGCAGCTCCTGACCTGTTTGCTTCTGAAGGCGAAGAGCGTAATAAGGAGAACTGGACAATCTATAAGATGCTACGCGGCCACATAGAAGATGTCTATGATCTCAGCTGGAGCAGCTGTAGCAACTTCCTTATTTCTGGCAGCATAGATAACTCAGCAATTATGTGGGATGTTCACAAAGGTCAGCTGATTTTTCTGCTCATTGAAAATCTTCAAATTCTGCTTTCAAAAAAATATGTAACAAATTTTCCTTATTATTCTTTGAGTTCTGAATGTTATTTATTTATATCAATACTTAAAGTCTAGAAATTTAAAATGTTCCTTATTGTGTGCTATTAGCCATTATATTGCTAACCTGCTAGCTGTTGTGCTTTGTAAATTTTTAACAAAAAAAGTTTAAATATCCTCATTTAGATTTAGAGTTTAGATATCGTTTAGATACCCCACATTGTTCACTTTCTTTCATTTGATTCTTGCCAGACATAAAAGTTATACTAAAATTATGCTTTTATTGTGAATTTATTTTTATTTTCTCAATTCTAATTAATTGTTTTGATAATATATTAATTAGAATAGAATAATATACTATATAATTGAAATTTTTCTAGAATTGTAAGCTTTACTTGCACAGTTTGCTAATTTTGATCTTTATTCCAGCTAAAAATATTGGGTTACTGAAGGAGCACAAAAATTTTGTGCAAGGAGTTGCTTGGGACCCTCTTGGTCAATTTGTGGCAACTCTGAGCAGTGACAGGTCAGTGACGTGTGCTCAATAGTTTTTTTATATAAGTTCGTTGGAATTCTTCTCAGTAATGCACTGAATGGTGTTTTTCTACTGAGTTTATTGAAAATATTCTCTACATTTCTTTATAGGTATAACACTGTGTATTACTCAGATTTTACATGAACAGATGCAAACAAATTGAATACTGATGACTAAGATGTGTATAGTTGTTCTACAATGGCCTGGAAATATAGTGTTTATTTAGAACAGTGGTTCCCAAACTTTTTCAGGCTGGCGCCTCCTTTGGCTCCCTGGTGAATTTCTATCGCCCCCCACAGACAAATATAAAAACATACGCCTCTCTCTTGAAATTTAGTACGCTGCAATTTTAGAAGATAAAGGTTAAACACAAATGTGTCTTTTACAAATAGAACCCCATTTAGTGAACCAATATGTTTTTAAGCTATTTCAACTGTTCGAGCACTAGAAACCTAGGACGTCTTGGGCACATTTACGGCCGGACTCGTGGCCGGTCGCACGACCAATCTCCAAATTCAATTATCAAGTAATATCTCTCAAACTAATGAACGCAGCTCAATGAAACTTGGAACATGTATTCATCAGAACCTAACGGTGATTTTTAGCTCGTAAAATTTTTCAATTTCACCTTCATTCGTGGGTTATATTGTGATAAAGGCCGAAATTTACAGTGATCAAATAATTTGAACGAAAATTTGAAATTGAACGAAATTTTGACAATACATTTTTAACTACCAAACAGTTATTTTTAAACTTCAAAATTTTTTCGATTTTAACGAGTTTTTTTTTTTTCATTTTACCGTCATTCTTGATTTCACACTTCCTTATATTCGGGCTGTATCGCCGGATAATTTGTCACTTAAATTCGCGGCGATCAAGAAATTTCTTCTATACTACTCAATAGATTTCAACGAAACTTTGAATATAAATACCTAACCTCCCAACGGTGATGTTTAGCTCGTACAATTTTTCTATTTTGCTTTCGTTCGCGAGTTATACTGATGTAGGAGGAACAACCGGCTTTTCTACCGGCCGGTTAACTAAGAGCCGTTTATGAAAATCCGTATACTTATAGCCGTATAACTCACAAACGAAGGCAAAACGAAAAAATTGTAGCGAGCAAAACATCACCGTTGCTGAGGTTAGGTATTTAAATACTAAGTTTTGTTCAAATCTATTCAGTAGTTTTGGAGGAAATTTCTCGATTACTGCGAATTTAAGCACGTATTGCTGTTTAAATCACGAATGAAGGTGAAATGAAAGAAAAAAAAACTCGCAAACAGAGGCACAATCGAATAAATTTTCACGACTGGGTGAAAAAACCATCGCTGGGAGTCATGATAAGCTGCACGTGTTGTGTACAAATTGTCCAACAAAAGTTGGAACTTCTGACTTTGACTTCGGACTGCCGCCCCCTTATCGCCCCCCAAACGCCCTCATCTTCCGTTCCGCCCCCCAAAATCTTTCCACCGCCCCTAGGGGGGCGATATCGCCCACTTTGGGAACCACTGATTTAGAATAAACTTTATTGGCTGCCACTGTTGTAATAGGAAGCAAAATTAAAAGTGGTTTTGAGCAAAAAAAAATAATTTACTTTAATCAAAATGTTTTACCTGCCAGAGTGCTGCGCTGGTTCTCAGTCTCTACCAAACGAGCCCTGCACCGTGTCAGTAAAGCTGAGCTTCCGGTCACATTGAGCTCTTCTAACACCTCTACTATTGTGAGTAGCTGAAACTGCATGTACCTTAGGAAATGTAATCATCTCTTATTGACATTATTTTATTTTTTCTGCTCCTATAAATTTTAAATTAGTTAGTGCCTTACTTCCAACGACTTGAATCCATTTATTACTTTAGTTTATTGCAATGGATTCTCTCATTTCATAGATGACAGTCCTTTATAATTATTTCAATAAATTTAATTTATTCCGTCTGTTGTTGTAAATCTAATAAATTCACGGTTTAATGTCATGGATTGTTGTGGTCAATGTTAGATTCTCCCTTAATGTATGAATTAAGCTTTTAAGTGCTCAAAAGGTAAGTTTTCATTCTGTTTGCTACTGCTTAAGCATTAAACAGCTTGGAGTCAGAGTAATGTTGAATATTTATTTGAATTTTTGATTTCATTTTATTTCAAGGCTTATTTAAACTACCAATACAATAAAGCAAATGAGAATTTTTCGTTTGTTGTAATCCCAACTAAGAATTTTATATGTATTTACAATGTTTAGATTGTTACTAGTGCACATACTGCTTCTTATTTTATCTCCATGTTATAGACCTTTTTATTTACATTTTTCTTAGCTGGAAAACAAGTCTAAATTATGCAATTCATGTTTATATGCTTTTAATAAAGCTTTATATAATCTAAAAATGTGTATTCTTAATGTTGACATCACAAGTGTACGTTCTTCTTGTAAACACCATTATACTGGTAATCATTTTATTGACATTGGGCATATTTCTATATGCTGATCATTTTAATTATATCAATTTGGATTTTTATGCATCAAATATATCCTCAAATGACCTATAATATTTGTTTTACAGAATACGCGTTTGTTTTTCGACGACACTCTGAAGTCGTTTTGCCGGCGCCTCGCCTTCTCCCCTGACGGGATGCTGCTCGCCGCCCCTGCAGGCATCCTGGAGGGCGAGCAGCTGGGGCCTCGCTTCCTCAACGCTGTGCATGTCTTCACTAGACTTTCACCTGACAAGTGAATGCTTTGTGATATCTTTTACGTCACCTATAAGTGTGCATCCGTCTCCATTAATCCCTTATGTCACTGACAATCAAGCGTGCTACAGTCTTCATTGATTTCTTTTGTCACTGACAAGTGTACTTCAGTCTCCATTTATCTATTATGTCATTGACAATCAAGTGGACTAGTCTCCATTGATCTCTTATGTCACTAACCAGTGAGCATACTACAGTCTTCATTGATCTCTTATGTCACTAACCATCGAGCATACTACAGTCTTCATTGATCTCTTATGTCGCTGACAATCAAGCTATGGTTGTAGTATGAATCTTTGCAAAGTTTCTTCGTGCCCTGTGTTCATGTATGCAATTTTGCAAGGCTTCTTCATGTGTAAGCATAATTTCTGACTTAATTATGCCCGTGCTAGTCTACCCATCAGTAAATAAGTAGCGTCTCATTTCCATTATTTGTTCTTATGTTTCTAGTCTGTAATTTGTCTTCCAACTTGTATTGAAAATAGTAACATGTATCGAACAATCAATTGTTAATCCTTACTGCATTACCAGATTATAATTCAGGTTGAATATCATTATACAAAAGATTCAAATATGTCTTCCGATTTGCTCATTTCCTGCTAAGAAATATGTTTGTAGACTTCTCGTAAATGCAATCAGATATTTTTTCGACTTCGTAGATTTATTATTGTTAATGGGTCCTGTTCTTTCAGGCCTGCAATTTATTTGCCAACTCGGGACAAATACTCCTTGGCTGTGCGATTCTGTCCTTTGTTGTTCAAGCTGCGAGCTGGGCGGAAAAAGTCACCCTACCACGGGCAGGTGGGAAACTTCGAATGCTTTATTAATTTTTCTCATTCTAGCCATTAGCTGATACTCCATCATGCACAGGACTTTTGTATTAAGATTATCACTATACGAGCCCTCAGTGATGGAATCGTAATTCTTGATGTATTTTGTTATTTTGAAATGCTTAATTTATTTTGAGCGACTTTTGACCATCTTTCAAATGAATGTTTTTTTATACTTCATTTGTAAAGTATATATAATTATTGCGTACTAATGTCAACATTCTTATACGTGTTAAGTTGATTAAAAATGCAGATAAATATTTCATTCATATTAGAATTTTTTGGGTATATGGCGTATCTGCAATTGCTCCTCTTCGGTAATGTTCAAAATCAATTTATTATTAACCACGGATTTCCACTAATTTGCATACGTTTGCCTTTTATTTACGTAATTAAGATATGTACATTCCTTATTCCATAAACAGTGATATTGAGAATTTAGATCAAAGGCATAGCTGATTCACTACTACACTCTGCTTTCAAATTAACTGTTACACTATTTAAATCAGGTGAATGATTTTGTTAATTTTCAGTCGGTGTTTGCACTGCCGTACCGGATGGTGTTTGCAGTGGCATGTCAGAATTCCGTGCTGCTCTACGACACCCAGCAACTCATGCCCTTTGCTATGGTCTCAAACATGCACATCACACGACTCACTGATCTCTCTTGGTAACCTTCTAGCTTAAATTCACACACATAAGTTGCAATCCAATTCTTGAATCTTGACAAGTAAAATTTTATGTCTTGGCAGCCAAACTCATAATTGACTTTATTAAGAAATCTTTGTTATTTTATCAATCTGGGAATTTCGACTATCTTAGAATCAATTGCATTAACAAACAGCTTTCCATCATTCGGCTGCATTATGATGTACATTTCAATGGAAAGTGGCGACTGTAAACTTGAGTTATCCTACTAACCCTACCTAAATCATAATTTCAACGTCAGATTTTTCAAATTCATTATGGTATTAAGTAAACAAGTTAGCTATGATCTCACTAGACTTGGATGCACAGGTCTAGCGATGGGCGTATCTTGGCAATATCCTCAACTGACGGTTACTGCTCCATCACATACTTCAACGAGGGCGAGCTTGGTGAAGTCTACTCACCAAATCCTGAAGCTCGATGTACCCCTCTAAAAAAGAATGTATTAAACGACTCCAACTCTCTTCCTACACCTAAAGAAGAAGGCTGCTTAGAAGACAACATTGTCGATGAGAAATGCATCGAAGAAACAAAAAACAAAAAATTGCCTGGAGAAAAGACAAATGTTAGTTCTCTAAATGTTGAAAAAGAAGAAAATGCCCTCGTTGTTAGTAAAACTGAACTAGGATTGGAAGATAATGTTAAAATCGTCAATTTGACCCTCGAGAAAGAAAACAAAGTGGATGCATCTAATGTGTCCATAAGTGAAAAAAACAAGTCCCGTGTGTCAGTTTTAACGGCTAAAAAAGGACATAAAAATGCTACCACCTCTCCGAGTAAGAATAAATTTTGTGCAGAACTCGCCAGAGATTCCATGCCTGAAAACGACGAGCCTCGCACATCATCACAAGAAAATTGTAATGCAGTTCCACTTAATAATGAAAAGGACGTCCAAAGAGAAGATAAAGATACAATCGAAAGCGATGACTGTGAAAGCATCGGTTCCAAAGACAGCGAATCAGACGAGGACGATGATGATATTTCTTTGATGAGTTGTGACACAGATGATGACGCCAAAGAAAAGCTCTCGGATGAAGACATGGAAGCCACTGAAATAGTGTTTAGCAACATCAAAAACTGTGAGAGCGAAAGCCTCGCTCCTAATGCTGGAAATATGGATGGATCAAAATGTGTAAAAAAGCCAACAACAGTAACAGGAAGTTCTTCAGATGAAGGAGAGAATGTTGAATCTAAAACACAAAAGGAGAAACCGTGCCCGGCATCTGTGAAGCCTGGCAATGCTCGCAGAGTGAATCTCATCACTATTAAACGTAATCCTAAGGAGTAAGTATTTGATCTTAATTTTTTTTTCAATTGCTGAGTCTATACATTTTTGATGGTTAATCCTAATGTTTTTAACGATTGATAACTAGAATCTAACAAGAGATGATTATTTATTTGAATTTTAAAAAAATTCGTTTCACAAATTGGATAAATCTTTATATTCTCTTCCAATTTCCAGGAGTAGTTCAAACAATTCTACATCTAGTACCGGCGCCTCTGCTGGTGCACGGCCTCCGCGGCGCGTCGCTCTGGTCAGTCTTCCCAGCTCCTCAAAAAAACAAGCTTCTGGGAACTTGTCGTCCACAGCTGCTGATAGTTTCACCAAACCGGTGAGCAATTCTATGAGCTACTTATATTAAGAAAATGTTCTTCACATGATCCCTTGAAGTTATTCTTTTCCACTTGATACTTATTACATTGCATTCAGTCATTCGAGGTAATATTTTCCTCAATTTATTCCAGAAAAAGGTAACTTTCACAGTATCACAATGACTTGAATGAAAGCAAATACGCGTTGGTTTTGATAAAAGAAAATGGTTGATAAACCGGTATGAATAATAAGAATGTGCCAAAACAAGATGGCTTCTACAGTCACGTAGAAAAGTTTCATGTAATATATTCAATGTCTAATTTTTCTCAACATTATGATATACACTCCCTGCTTAAATTGTCAATTATGGGTCAATTGATTTTTGGTTTGTGCTATATCAATGGCCAATAACGAAATTTTCTTCTTTCCAAAATTCGCAGCTACGACAATTTGGTTGATCTGATTGAATTATTGATGCTTTCAGACTACTTCAGTGGCTATCTCTGACAACACCTCTGATCTGTGCTTGATGCTTGAAGACGAGTCTACAGCTTATAACCCTGCTGAGGAACCTAGGAACTCTAAGAGTTCAGGGACCGCCGATACTAAGACAAAAATCGATCTGCACTCAGCCTTGATGAGCAGCGTCGAAAAAAACGGAGACCGAGGTGATCTAGGCAGTAAATCTAGCGGTGATGCATGCTTGCCCCCGAATCAAAATGAAGAAGTAAAAGCAATTTCGTCGTGCAATTCAACTCTCAATGACACGACTACTAGTGATGTCAAGGAATCGCCTGGTCAAGAAATCTCAAAATCCATTACCACCACTTCCCCTGTTGATGCTTCTTCAGTGCCGGCAGATGGTGGGACTCAACCTCCTGCAGCGGCCCCTGCAATAAGCGCTACCAAGACCACTCCTCGTACCCCACGCAGGGTCTCGCTAATAACTTTATCGAGCCCTAAGGCGAAAAAATGCTTGAACCCTGATAGGAACAAACCTGTTTGAGTTTGATGGACTTCATGAATTTCTAATTGATTGGCTAACCAAAAGTTAGGAAGTATGTTGACCTATGCCATACATTTTAACTAAATTTCCACAACTTGAACTAGGTTTGTACTTATTGTGTTTCCGTTATGGATAGCATCCAACTTTTAAGTGTATACTGAAATTCATTGATTTATATTTCATGGCTGCATCAGGTTATTTGAGAATTTATTTATCTCAATTAATTTATACCAATTTTTTTAAAGCTTGAGTCGCTATTAAGCACTTCCGACTAGTCTTGCATTCGTCCGACTGTAGATAAACTGAAAGCCTGGTTATATAATCCCGGAGGTCGTTAATTTTCAAACTATTGTACTGGACATCTAGAATGATCTGTTTTCCAATTTATTTGCAATAATGTCTTGAATTTTTTTCGTTCTCTGTTATCTAAGTAGCAGTCGTGTATGTAATCATGTCATGCGATCAACTTAGAAGATACTTTGTTGTTCTAGGGGCACTGCAGCTCTTCACCTGAATTGCTCTTCTTGAGAAATATGTCTTGAGCCATTATCATCATGGAGTTACTATGTTTCCATGCATTAAGCATCGATAGTGAACAACGCGTTGTAATTGATTGTGATCAGTGTAGACAAGGTCAGTTCAAACCAGCTTCGTTGCTCGTGGATTCTTATGTTTATACAGTTCGTCTACTTCATGTGTATTTAGCTTCTATATTATTTTATGGGTTTTACACACGCTCTACTTGTAATTGATACTCGCACAGATTTTATAATGTCTTGAAGTATCTATGATGTGAAGAGGACTTTTTTAATCTTATAACATCTAGATTTCATCCAGCGGAAAACTATTCATTAAGATTAATTGATTGCTTGCGTCGCAAATAGGAAACTACCTACTTCAAAATGAAAAAAATATCAAAGTACCGCACGTTTTTAGGCAAATAAAATATTTATCGCATTTGACTTGAAAGAAGAACATTAACATACATGAAATACGGCGAGAAAATGGCATATGCCCGTCTAGTTTTTTTTTTTTCATTTCACTAGCAACACGTTGAGGTAGCTTCTTTATTCGTGTTAGAAATTTTCATAATTGATCAGGGAGCTGATTGAAAATGTCCCATTCAAAAAGATCCTAAGTTTCATAGTTATATTTTATTCCAATTTTTATCGACCCCGGAACGATTCTTTTCNTTTTTTTTTTTTTTTTTTGCTCTACGTACACGTGCTGCTTCAATGTCTTTTTTTACTCACTAAATTGCTTGCTTTTCGCACTACTCAACTCGGTTATTGTATTTTATCCTTCAAACATCCTCGACGCTTGTAGTAGAAAACCTTTATCGTTTTCTTTCAGATTTTTTAGCGCATCACGTCCTGATAGTTGCGAGAACCTTATTGATTACCCGTGATCTGCACCTAGTGGTTCAAGGGTTCTTTCACAAGCATACGCAGGGGACGACTTTTTATAAAGTCGTTGGGGCAATGACTCGCCTCCGTTTCCCAGTCAACCTAAGTGTATCGAACTGAGCTCGTTGTTGTAATTGCCCATCCTGGTAGTGGCGACTAGGGAAGGGGGGTGATAGGTCAGTTTTTCCGGGCGCTAATGCCACTGGCATTATATTATATTGCATTAAACAAAAACCTTGGACAAGCCAGGTAATTATTTATCAACCAGAGTTGGGCGAATGACTGAGTTGACCATAAACTGAGCTCGTTGTTAACGCTGCTTAGTGCAGAATTTCTGATGTGGAAGTTTGCAGAGCAATGTAACTTTACTCGTGAGACTTTGATGGCGATATTCGGTTCATTGGGATCTACTCTTCTAAAAATATGACTGCGAAAATTCCTTTTGGAAATAACCCAAAATAATTCAATCGGATTATTGACGTTGTACTATTTATTAAACGTCTCTGGCGATTTCATGACTAGTGTTGTAATAATTATTCGCTTCTTTGTTTTACCCACTCAATGCGTATATTTAAACTAACAATGTTCTTATTGTTGAAAGGTTTGCGATTCATCTCCATGGCAATACCTTGAAAGATCGAAATGGTGTATTTTATATACATTGATTTGGAAATGATGTAATGAGGAAACGAGGAGCAAGTGTTACTCTGGACGCCAGACGGCGCTTGTAAGCAAATCCTGATTGCATTACGGGTGAGTATTGCTCTGCAACCGCTTCATTTCATGGAGTAACCGTGTAAACTAATGAATGGGCCAGACGTTTGATGATAGTAATGCTGCCGAGGGATTGTTTCTTATTAATGACTGAAAATTTGATTTTGCAGTTACTAATTTTGGGAAACGCATTACATTTCGTTCTGCCTACTTAGACTATGTTACTCGTCACTGCTAGGACATGTAGCGGATAGAATAGAAGTATCAGCACTGAAGAAATAGGCCCATGTCCTGTTACCCATTCTTGCATTTTTCGCGATTCGATTCCACAAGGGATCTAGCTATTTGAACCCAATCTTTCCATAACCGACTATTGATTGAGATAGTTGCTGGACTTACAGCAAGGCATGTAAGGTGCTAGTCATTTCAAGATTGAACATATGGTCCTACATAGCTTCGTCTAGTCTGTTCTTGGAGGCGTTCATACTCGGAGCGTCAACGATGCTATCAGGGAGGCTGTTCCACATGTCGGTGACTCGAAGCGATAACGCTGCTTAGTGCAGAATTTCTGATGTGGAAGTTTGCAGAGCAATGTAACTTTACTCGTGAGACTTTGATGGCGATATTCGGTTCATTGGGATCTACTCTTCTAAAAATATGACTGCAAAAAACCTTTTGGAAATAACCCAAAATAATTCAATCGGATTATTGACGTTGTACTATTTATTAAACGTCTCTGGCGATTTCATGACGAGTGTTGTAATAATTATTCGCTTCTTTGTTTTACCCACTCAATGCGTATATTTAAACTAACAATGTTCTTATTGTTGAAAGGTTTGCGATTCATCTCCATGGCAATACCTTGAAAGATCGAAATGGTGTATTTTATATACATTGATTTGGAAATGATGTAATGAGGAAACGAGGAGCAAGTGTTACTCTGGACGCCAGACGGCGCTTGTAAGCAAATCCTGATTGCATTACGGGTGAGTATTGCTCTGCAACCGCTCCATGTCATGGAGTAACCGTGTAAACTAATGAATGGGCCAGACGTTTGATGATAGTAATGCTGCCGAGGGATTGTTTCTTATTAATGACTGAAAATTTGATTTTGCAGTGACTAATTTTGGGAAGCGCATTACATTTCGTTCTGCCTACTTAGACTATGTTACTCGTCACTGCTAGGACATGTAGCGGATAGAATAGAAGTATCAGCACTGAAGAAATAGGCCCATGTCCTGTTACCCATTCTTGCATTTTTCGCGATTCGATTCCACAAGGGATCTAGCTATTTGAACCCAATCTTTCCATAACCGACTATTGATTGAGATAGTTGCTGGACTTACAGCAAGGCATGTAAGGTGCTAGTCATTTCAAGATTGAACATATGGTCCTACATAGCTTCGTCTAGTCTGTTCTTGGAGGCGTTCATACTCGGAGCGTCAACGATGCTATCAGGGAGGCTGTTCCACATGTCGGTGACTCGAAGCGAGAAGAAATGTTGTCGCGTGGATGGTTTACAACGCAGTTATTTTAGTTCATAGCCGTAGCCCCTGGTGTTGGTTCTTGTTTCTAATTCTAGTAATCCTTCAGGGATTACTAGAATTATAGGTCTTCTTTTTTTATGGATTTCAATATAATTATTGATGTCTCAGTAGATTATAGAATAATTGATGGTTCCAGACCAATGATCAAAGTAATTTTATTTTCTTTGTCTGTACGAACCTGACCGGCTAAGAACATGATTCAATTAGCAGTATGCTTGAATAAGAAATCAAGCTATTTGGATATAACTATAAACACCGGTAGCATCTTTTCTGTTTACCTTCCTTGCTGTACGGTGTCCACTCTCAGTAAAACATTACGAATAATTAATTTTATTGTTATCAACCATTCTATGAAGGATCATCGGCGATGGCTCCACAACAGACCCCGGCACCGCTGACAGGGCGTGCCTACTACGGTTTCGTGCTCTACGTTAGCGCGTGGACGTGCATCTTCTGCTACCTCACGTGGGCCATCGTGCCGCATGAATATTTACACGTGATCGGCATCAGCTACTTACCTCATCGATTCTGGGCCATTGCACTGCCTACTATAATTGTCACCGGAGTGGTGCTCTTCATCACACTTATATACCCAGGGATCAATCTTTTACTGGCCGTGGCTCCAGATGACATGAGAACCCTGTACGATTCTCACACCATTCGTCGGGAGAGCTATGAAGAGCCTCATAACTGTAGTATGGATAGCTGCAGTGACAATATATCACCAGATCTCGCTACTAGTGTGAAAAAACAAACGTGTAGAAAATTTGCTTCGAAATCGGTAGATGAGAGCGAGGCAATGGACAACTCCTCTGTGCCTCCAGTATACGACCTAGACATCAGTGAAGTTTGTAAAATTCTATACGGCCGACAAAATTAAGAATCGTGTAAGTACAAACATTTTTTTTAGTTTCCCAACGAGTAATTTATTTTCAAATATAATTTTATACTACAAGTTGGTGACGACTTTTCATTCATGCACGATTCGTAAATAAATATAATTGTAATGATATCGTCGACGATGACATGTTCTCCGTTACGTCGTGAAACGCAGGCATGTCGATGGGGCGATCCAGGAGGTAAGAGATCAAATGAAAGGAGAGCGAGCAGGAAGATGGCAACCTGAGGATAATTGTCCCATTGGGAGGAGACGGTGAGATCTGTGGTAAAGGACGGGCAGGAGAAGAGGAACTCAATTTAGAACTCGGGACAAGTTGGGCTTTGGTATTGCACCACTCTGAATGTGTAGAAAGGTAGGGGGCTGCAAAAGCCAGATTATAGATGGAGCTAGGCTTCTCGGGGAAGAGGAGAGTTGAGCCGGCAACTGCGCACGTGGGAGGCGATCATCTGTCTTCCCTTGGGAGCTGGCTGGTAGGCAGCGGTCTACCAATGTGGGGGCCATGAAGAGATTGAAGCGGGACTATAAGGTCGCCATCATTAAACTTTCCGAGGAATGGTAGAAAGCGGGAAAAGTTTGGTGGGTCTGAGGTAGTTTGCCAGGAACTGCAAATACAAGAGGGTAGTGCATTCAAGAAGCAACGGAGGAAAAGAGCTGTGGTCTAGTGGATGGAGATCTTCAAGATTTCTCTGCTTGCTGTGGGGCTCGGCTTAACAACGCACGGTATCTGTTTACGAGTGTATGGTGCATTACGATCACACTTTCAAGCTGTTGCAGATATCATGAAAGTCCTTGAGATTATTCTGCCTAATATTTGAGCGATATGATGATAGAAATTTCAGGTCTTCAAACGCTCGACAGGAAGGTAGAAAACTGAAAGTAGTAATAAACTTTAATCCGGTATTGTAGCCATCTGAATCATGGAGTATATTTTTTATATATTTTTTTACTTAGTCGACTTCACGTTAAAGTTTTTCGCAGACATCTTCAGATTGTTTTGATGATCGTTCCGATTCCCGCCTCCTCATCTTCACGATTGTACGTCATGAGCAAGGTACGAAGGCGTATGGTGAGCTATCGCCAAATCCTGGTCGCGTGACAAACACGCAGGTGCGTGGGACGTCTATGTCCTCAAGAGACGTCGTGAACACGGTTGGTAATCAGCGTAGTTTACATAAATTCCTATACACATATTGATATGGATATCCATGCCGTGCACTGGAACACGATAAAGGGTATCTCCTCCATGGGACCTGCAACTCGCAGACATTGAAAGGGTGGGATAAAATCCCTGAGGAAATCTGAATGTGCAGAGGGAGAGGAGATAAGATGTCGAGGGGGTGAAAACTTAATCGCTCGGAAGAGGCATCGGCCAGGTTGCAAGAATAAGGAGGGGGGGGGTAATTTTTCCTACCCTTGGGGAAAGGGTGCCCACGCCCATCGGCGCTGAAGTAGTCAACGGGAATGATAACTTCTGCTACTGTTAGACCCAAGTCCACTTTAGCCAACCGGCATTACAGCCAGGGTACCCTTATTGAGCAAACGCCGCATTGTTCAGGTAGCTCAAAGTTAATATGACTATAGATGTCACGTAGTATGCAATTTATTTTGTGAGATTGAAGAATCGTACCCGTTTAACACATCTACTAGGGAATACTTGAATTAGTGTTCATGTTACACAAACGCAATGATTGCCTCTTCTAATTTCTTCTTCAGCTCTGTTGGAGCTCACGGAGGCGTCCACGTGGACGGCGCCCACTGCACAGGCCAGGAGAAGCAACGTCCCGCCGAGTGCTGCGTACAAAGCCCAACCTGTCAGAGATACGATAAAGATTAATGCGGACTTATTAAGGTTACAGAAGCATTGTTACCTTAGGGCCGTATTATCAAGATCCTTCAAAGTTTACAACTCCATCTGCCAAGCAGTGCCGGCTTTCCTAACTAAACAATGCAGTAGTAGAATAGATGCGAATATTTAGGCAAGTTTCGATAATACGGTTACAACTAAATTGCCGGAATAGCTAAAAAAAACTGCAAGACTTATGTGACATGAGGTAATAACGATTTTCCAGTTCGACATAAGCAGTTAGTTTAAATGCAATCATGCAATGTGGCTCAGATTGTATAAATCGGTTTAGCCATAATGAGGTATAATATAGTAGCTTTAAATCGCCAAAGAGTTTCCCTATATGCGTATTGATTGTTTGATTTCTAAAAAATAAAAAGCAGTTTCCCAAAAATTTGTTGTATACTGCTGTACATTACATATACTCCAAGGCTAGCTGACCCATATATTATGAAGCCAGTTATAGCTTAATTAGATTTGTGTAAGCAGTAGCAAAATTACAAGCCATTATGCTGAATAATAATCCTCAAATTTTCGGTTCCATAATTCAACCGTCAATATGCAATTAATTGTTAATTCTTAGTAAACTTGGAACTGTGACTCAGTTTAGTATATTACGCTAAACATTTTAATTAAAATTATATCGGTCAAACCAAAATTTGTTTTATGAAGCATCCCCTTCTAATTTAGATTGCACTTTCGATTGTTGCTCTCCGAGACCAACCTAACTCACCTATGAAGTAAGTAGTTGCCTGCCACTTTATCCAACAGACAACAATTATCTGGCATTATCCGATTCAGGGACTCACAGTCTCGCACTAAACTCGCTCAAGTACGTGTAGAGACTGATTTCTCGTTTGCGATTGGTGGGTTTATCTTAAACCGTCAGCCAATTTTTGACGGCTTTTCAAGCTGAATCCACCTATGACATACGAGAACCCGCCTGCTACGTGTACTTAAACGAGTTTTGATACTACGGATTCAGACCGGTTAAACTCCGGCGATTGAGGTTAAAGGTTAGTTAAACCTACAATAATTTTGTATGACAAACCTGTGCGACATGCACCCAAGGCGTACACGCTGGCGAGAGGACCACACATGAGCTGCACCCTCACGCTGCTCCAAGATAGTGGTAGCACCGCTAGGCCCAGCACGCTGAACACGCCTGTAGCACATTTATACTTTAACTTACTGTATAGTATGAGTATTCAAGCTTAGTAGCTTGAATACCGCGTATAATTTATAATACACAAGGTCATACATCAGAAGATCTTTCTCAAGTGCAGATACTATTTAAGTGGAACTGAAAAGAGGCTACTGCGAATGTATATTCACATTTGAGACTCGCCACCGACGTCGTACAAGTACACAATAAAAGAAGATAATTTTGAATCGACAATGATATTAATTAATCAGAAAAAATTTGTAATTCAACGCTGAGAAAATTTAAACTGTCCGCACGCTAAAAAGAAACCGTAAGAAATCAAAACTAATATACCTGTGCATACCCCAGACCACAAACGAATTATTATACAGTTACAAGCCAGGACATGGATTCATGTCACCTGCTGCTCCAAAGGCTGTTTAATAATTGGATTACAATATCTTGCAAGCAAATTCCAAGTGAAGGATGCATAAGAGAAAACAACCATTTCAACTTGAAAATTTCGTGAAAACTATTTTTTTTTTTGGGGAAAAAAGTGCTTAAACCAACACAAATAAACCTTGAAACTGGAATAAATAATGTTGCAAAGCATATGAAAACAGCAAATTGGTTTCCAAAACGAGCATTGTCTCTTTAGTTAAGTAAAAGTTGAAATTTTTTGGAGACGTTTTCATCATTGGCCTGCTTCTATCGCAAGTTCACCGAGAATTTAAAAGCAGAGAAGACGCCATATAAATTCAGCACATGATTTTCATTGAAGATATGGTTAATTTATTTGGCGTTTTCTTTGCTTTTAAATTTTTAGTGAAAGCGTTATTAATTCACCCATCAAAGCATATCAATTACCAGCGAGAGCCTGCAGAGAGCCAGCGATGTTAAAGACGCTTTTTCGTCTGACGACTCTCATGCAGGGAGTGAGCAGCACCAGCAGCATCGCCAACACCGCGATGCCTGCCCCCGTCACCAACGATGCCATCGCAACAACCTGAAAAACTTGGTGTGAGTGCATGGTTTTGTAATGTATTAAAATTATTCAAGAAACTGCTTTACGCACAATCAAAAAAAAAGTTTTATTTCAATTGCAAATGCTTTACATTGGATAAAATAGTTTTCACAAACTCGTCGGTATCACAGAATTTAAAAAAAAATAACACCAACAATACAACCCATAAACAAAGTTTGGTGTGATCGAGAATCTTTTTACTAGGAAACTAACATTGCAAATAAACACAGTAAATTATTCAGTGAGTCAAGAACGAGACCCACTTTGATGTCGTTTCTCGGCTTATTGGATCTGTTTCGGCATTGGGATTAGCTACAGCGATTTAAAAAAATCTTTTTGCAATAATATGCAGGAAAAAAATGTCCGTACCATCAAGACTCGTAGCATTCGTACTAGTATCAAAGCAAACATAACAGCCTTGATACATGCAACGGCCTCTCGTCTGTAATTTGAAAATTTGGCAGGAAAAACCGTCCGTTATTTACTGAGGAAGTTAGTAACTCTTGACAATATTTGATATTATATCCGTTATTGACTGAGGAAGTTAGTAACTCTTGACAATATTTGATATTAGGCCGCTGACCTGAGCAGCGGGGAGATCAGCCCCAGTCGTTGCGTAGACGCCGCAGTGTTGGGACCCCGCGACGCCCTTCTTGCCGGGCAAGATCGAGCACCGCAGCCACAGGCCCAGCGAGGGACTGACGTCCACTGTGCCGCTCCAGGCTAACGATCAATCAATATGCAATTTAATGCTATTTAAGTTAAAATTACATTTTTGTGTTTTTTTTGTAGCCGCTGAGTTTTGTGTAGCCGAGTACTTTTTGTTGTGTGGGTGTGTGTTTATTTTATCTAGACGATTAATAAGCTAGCATTAGTTTTGTAAAGCAACTTTATTTCATTTTTATTAATATCACACGAACTAACTTCTTCCCTAGCACTACAATCTAAACACAATACCCTGATACGAGATATATGAAAGATGTACTAATATACGAAATGTTTACAGTTTACACACTGCAATTAATGACTATTGTTATTATTACTCATTAATTGTTACCAAGGCATTATTATTGATTATTAATTAATAAACTATTTAAATTATTAATGAACATAGGAAATGATGTACTAATTACTGCAATTCTAAATCGGAGCCAGAAAATTTGTTCACTTGCGGCAAAATTTAATCGTATAATGATTTCAAGCACCAGATTCATTCAAAGCCAACATTTTAGTATAAAAATAATCAATTTAGCCCAAATATCGAACAAATGACCAAGATCTTAATAATAAATATTATTAATCTTGTCTTAATATTGTCTTAGGTCTCATAATTCACCTGTAATATTGAAGGTGTAATCGTAGGCGGGGAGGTTGTGTTGCAGCGTTACAGGGTGTCCCAGTAGCCACTGGGGCGAGAGATGAGATGCCACAAGCAGTGTTGCTGCAGCCACGGACGCAACAGTCCACAATATCGACGCGCTGGTCAGCAACACCAGAAACATTGCTGATGAATGGAAATAAATTGTAATAATATGTCATACACTGCACGATAAATGAAATAAAAATTCAGCATCTATTAACTAATAGATATCAAACACCTAAACCCTTGTATAAAAAATTTATACAGTTCATCGATTTTATTTATAGCAGCTGCGAATAGGATCCTAAATCAGATCTTAAATAATTTGTTCACTTACAAATTTACTCGAAGAATTACAGCGAAATGAAAAATAAAGCAGCGCAGTTCAAGACGTCAAAGACTTGCAACAAGGATAATTCCAGGCTTAAAGAGCAAGTCTTATGATGAAAGACTGAAGATTATGAAGCTTCCCAGTTTCCGTTATCGTCGCCTGCGTGGTGACCTCATTGAAGTATACAAGTACACTCATGGTTTGTACAAGGTCCCAGAAGGATTACTAGAATTTGCAACAAGAAGCAACACCAGGGGCCACAGCTACAAACTAAAAAAAACTACGGTGCAACTTATCTACGAGACAACAATTCTTCTCGCCTCGAGTCACCGACATGTGGAACAGCCTCCCTGAAGATATTGTTGACGCTCCGAGTATGAATGAACGCGTTCAAGAACAGACTAGACAAGGCCATGCAGGAGCATATGTTTAGTCTTAAAATGCCTCGTATCCTACGGAACAACTGAAATCTAGAAGCGATTTTAAATCTGCCGTCCGTTGAAAAGATTAGATCAAAAGGCCAGGCTAGTCAAGTAAAGTACAAGAATCGGCGACAGGCCTATCCATGCCTATTCTTCAATGCCGAAGATACTATACCATACTACTATATACTATACTAATTCACCCACGAGTCCAGCGGTAAAAATTGCAGTGTGCACTAGAATTAGGTACATGTATTTATCAGGGAGGGTACACCATAAGTGATATGCTAATAACTTATATGCTTTATATGCTGAGTTATGAACAACTTCATACTCGTTTAAAGAGTAATAGCGCCCTATTTGCGACTCATAATTCGTGATACATCAACGACCAAACGAGGACACAAAATACACGTAAACGACCCTATAGCTCGAAGCATCGGCCTTTTTTTTTTTTTTTTTGTTGGAATGGTGAGAGTGGGAGGCCTTTTAAAAAAAATAAAATAAAATAAAAAATAAAAAATTTAAGAAGCAACAAGCGATTTCTACTGCCTTCTAAAAAAAACGAGCAGTTCGCCCATTTTCCCTACTAATTCGAGAAGAAGGAAGGGTTCTCTCCAATGACTGGTGCTATGAGCGGTTTCTTACTAATTCGTAAAGTAACAATTGCTTCTCCCTAAAAATTTCGTGGAAAACAAGAGGTACCCCAGTAATTTTTTTTTTGTAATTCTTGGGGGAAACAAATGGTGCAAACAAATTGGGGCGTAGTTCGTGAAGTCATAAGCCATTCTCTCTCATTTCGTAGGTTCTCTCTCTCTCTCTCATTTACTCCCAATTCGTGAAACCACAAGCAGATCCCTCTCAATTTGTGAAGTCACAAGCCATTCCCTCTCATTTTGTGAAGTCACAAACATTTTCTTCTCAATTCAAAATATTCAGCAACAAACATATTACCTCAAATTCTATACTATTTCGTGGAGCAACAAGCGGTTCACCATTTCCCTACTTTTCTGTGAAGCAAGAAGCGGTTCGTTACCGAGCAATGCGAGGCAGATGCCGAGCGCCGTACAATTGAATGGACGGACAGGGGCTTGACTCACGCAATAGGGACGCTTTTTTGTACGACGAACACACCACCACGCCCTTCCTCTGCCTCACTGGCCACCACTAGTACAACTAGAAGACACTAGCACAACTAGAAGACACTAGCGCAACTAGAGGACACTAGCAAAACGTGGGGACACTAGCAAAACTTGGGGACACTAACACAACTAGAAGACACTAGTACAACTAGAAGACACCAGTACAACTAGAGGACACTAGTACAACAAGAAGACCCTAGTACAACTAGAGGACACAAGTACAACTAGAAGACACTAGTAAAACTTGGGACACTAACACAACTAGAAGACACTAGTACAACTAGAGAACACTGGTACAACTAGAAGACACTAGTACAACTAGAAGACACTAGCAATACTTGGGGACACTAACACAATTAGAAGACACTAGTACAACTAGAGGTCACTAGTACAACTAAAAGACACTAGTACAACTAGAGGACACTAGTACAACTAAAAGACACTAGTACAACTAGAGAACACTAGTACAACTGGAAGACACTAGTACAACTAGAAGACACGAGCAAAACTTGAACAACTAGAAGACACTAGTACAACTAGAGGACACTAGTACAACTAGAGGAAACTAGGACAACTAGAGCAAACTAGTACAATTATAAGACACTAGCACAACTAGAGGACACTAGTACAACTAGAGGACACTAGTACAACTAGAAGACACTAGTACTACTAGAAGACACTAGCAAAACTTGGGGACACTAACACAACTAGAAGACACTAGTACAACTAGAGGACGCTAGTACAACTAGAAGACACTAGTACAACTAGAAGACACTAGCAAAACTTGGGGACACTAACACAACTAGAAGATAATAACACAATTAAAATACACTAACTAGAAGACACTAACAGAACTATAAGACACCAGCTTAACTACTACTAGCAGCACTATTATAAATTTACATATAAATTTTTAAAACGTGATGATAGGCGTAACTGAAGGAAATTCTCTGAATTTCGTTATAGTTCGTTATAAGGTACAAAGCTAATATACAACCAATTGGCTATAAAAGCCAAGAAGACGCTTCAATTCCTTATTATAATGAACGGCGGAACAAAAATTGTTTACTACCCAACGGTAAGGAGAGAATAATTTCATGTAGAATCTTTTACGAATTAAAACTGATCCACGTGCTTCTTAATATTCAAATGGGCTGATATTTGTCAGGATTCCGTTTTCCGTTACTTTCGCTCTCCCGAATGTTACTTTCAGGAGTACAATGCACCAGTTTTAGGCTCAAGTCTCTACTTTGAAATAGATGCAAGTACGTAAATCATTATTACGGAAAAAATATTTCTACGAATTAAAAAGTGTCACAAAAATCATTTACCCCGTGATTGATCAGTATAAATCTAACCCGCATACTAATGAGAGACCGTTGATTTATTTTGAGATGTTAACCTCAGATCTTCAGATCTCCATACTATTTATTCACTTGACCGTTGACTCCTACAAAACCCTTCACCTTCTTAAACCGTTCATAATCAGCCGTTTATGCCCTTATTCGCCAACACACTAAACCGTCTACTACCTTAAATCCTATCCTAACTGGTTCATTGGGTCTTCATAGCGATGCGAGGTTGCATGGTCAGCGCCAGCTTGTTGACATTGCAAGCCGATGCTTCGAGCTTCACTGCGGCATCATTCGTGGCATCGTTACTCATCTAATCATCCTCTTCCTCTACTTCAAACATCTTCTTAATGCTGATGAACAAGACTTGCAGTCGACCAGTAGATGTTTTCTTCTTCTAGCTGCATAATATTCGTTTGTACAGTATATCTACGCAATACAAAATATAAACAATCGGATTTGCTCAAATCTCAGAATAAATCTATTTCTTATGATCAGATGAATTCAATAGCGTTATTCTTCAAGACGACTTTGTCCAAGAACTACGAAGAGGCTTGAAGAATGCCGCTTCAATTGGAAACAACAATTCTAGATTTTACATTGCAGAGCTGACTTGAAGCCGTATAAATGAGAGGCACAATAATTTCTGAAACAACAAACACGGAGGAGCGAAAAAACGTAAGACAAATCGATCACACGATTCAACTGTGGACAACGAAACTGCTCGCTAATACTATCGATAGTTAGTTGAGTTACAATAATAAAATATGTACACAATAAATAATAATAATTGTAGATAATTTCAGGGCCGATAATATTTATGGTTGAGACCATCAGCAGAGAAACTTTCTTTCACCGCAAATAACATGAAATGATCAATCAGCAAAATAAACCAGTATAATGTTTGGAAACAGATTAAACTGTTTCCAGAATCTGTTAACATGAAACAAACCATAATGGGGCAAATATTATGCCAAAGATAAAATGAAGCGGCGTAGTGATAAAAAAATCGTTCTTCATTGAAATACCCAGACGAATACGCTGTTCAATTTAGCACATCCAAGTAAATGATCTACACGCCGAGCATCTCTGCAGAGATGACTTGAAAGATAAAACGTCCGTGGGCACACGCCCCGAGCAGCACACTCTCCTGATGGGTATGGCAAGATAAGCGTTACCGTCACGAGCCCCAAATCACCGCTCTAACCGAAGTAAGCCTCGTCAAAATAGCCTCAGGATGATAAAGTTTAAAGGGCGGAACCCTAACCCGCTGCCGAGTCTCTCGTGGTAGGAATATATTTGCCGGCACACTGTAATTCAGCGTCATTCAAGGAAAAGACAGGCCGCGTGATGCTTCACTTATGGAGGGGGGTTTATGTGCGAACTAATGTGCGAGTTAACATAATCTCTTCTTGAAAATTAAAAAAAAAAACACGAGAACCAGAGAGAGGAAAAAAGTTTAGAGGTTCATTTTAGATGAGAATTCACGAGTAGTGCGATATCGATCGATACCAAATGTTCATTTCACGAGTGATATTTCGATATGAAAAAATTACGAGCATCTAATATCGCGGGCCCATAAATGAAATAACTTCTTAAGAAGAAGTTGAATTAAATTTGTAATGATAGTTTGAAAAAGTACTAAACATAGTTATTATAATACAGTAGTGGTACAAAACAAATGAGGACACTTGCAAATACGGTACCTTTAAACTAGTTTAAAAGTTAAAGGATGCAGCGGAGATCGAAGATCAAAGCACAAGATATTCAAGGCCTTCTCTGAACATTGATCAGGACTTCATAGACTGGACATCTCATTCGCTACAGTAATCCATTTGGACTTTTTTATCCACTCTATCTGATTCAATCCTCAAAAAGGAACGCTGAAGAATGGCATCTATTCCATAGAACTGGACCAACGAGTTACTATATATCGACACGTCATCCGAATTGGCAAGAGTGGCTTCCTCTTTTCCTTACAGGCACATATGTTTCGCACAAGTAATCCCCAGCGTTCACTGAATATTTATGGAAGTTACACGAAACCATTCGTACTTCGTAGACGCCCGCCTTATTTGGCCCGGAGTCTGGCCAGGAACTTTAATGGGTTGAGCTCAAGCACTAATAAGGCTGCAGAGCTAATAGTGTTCGTTAATTCTCTATACCGTACCTATACATACGTCCATAACTCACAGTGTATCTGCACCAAACAGGGTTCGATGATGCTCTTCGACTTCACATTAGTTTGTTGGTGTGGTAGAATAATTTGAAGAATTATCAACCTTTAACTTTGTTAACTATCAACATTTAAATAGAGCAAAAATCAAACTTGTTTCTGAGAATTTCGATAAATTTTGGTGTGGCATCTGTGCGTACCTTCAACAGCAGACTGGAGATGAATCGAAGTTGAACGATGATGCATCACGCTAGATTGATCCGAAATCAAAACATGAAAATATTTAATCCTTGAACCCAGGGAATTAAAGTAGTTCGACTCAAGTTCCTGTCTGTGAATGAATCTATGGGGAAAAAATATTCAAAGAGAAAGCTGCAAGCGCAGTAGGCACGATTATTTTTCTTTTATTTTTAACGATTTTTTGCATCGTATTTGCTCAAATAATTAAAACCTTTCAGTTCCCTTACTTACACCCAACTTGAAATCACCGTTAGTGCAAGTTGATACTTTCGCTCTAGTCGCCCGTTATTTTCTGAGTTTCTTTAATCGTCTCAGCGTTACAGTGTAACTTGAGACTCAGAGAGGGCGCCAGTCGGCGCGCTCACACAACCGCGGCCGCATCGCGAACTTACTCGAGATGTGGCGTTTTCATTATTATGGTATAGTATATTATGGTAGAGTATATTAATAATATAGTATTAGAGTAGTACAGTATAGTATAAAATAAAATACTGCGATAGTATCGTAGGTGAAGGACAGCCAAGTTTGACCTCTCACCGATTCTTGTCATTTTCGTAATTCGTTTACAGGAGATCTAAAAAATTGTCTTTTGACTATATCATATCATAACTGACGTTGAAATAAATAGCGACTGGACTTGTACCATATCCTTGAGGTGTCAGAAGTGACGAGAGCACTTCAAGCTTGAACATATATATATATATATACGTCTGTTATAATTTTTTCTAGTCTGTTCGTTGTCTAAACTATTCTCAAACTTCAACCTAAAATTAACACAAGTTAATCAATTATCATAAAAGTATCATAAATTTACAAATTCAAATTCAAGAGCTCACCTCAGAAGAGTTATTTATTGCTCAAGTTTACAGAGAAGAATATTGGTATTGCTAACTAGATATTTTCTAGAACATAGAATAAGTAGAACGCGGCTAAGGGAACAGTGAACACGTAAACAGTATGACTCACGGAAACAGTCGGGGTGATGAGTCATACATCCCATAACCAGTCCCGCATTGTGCTCCAAGTTTTTCAGCTCGCTTCCCGGTCACAATAGTTTTCTAAAAACTTTATAAGATGTTATGATGATATGCGAAGACAAAAAGTAAACAGGGATCACCATCCCGAGGGACGTGCGGGATCAAAGAACGATTTTGGAATTATTCTTCTCAGATCAATCATAGCTGTGTATTGTGTAACGAGACCTGCAAAATCATTCGACCAAATATGAAACAGAATACTGCTAAGGATACATTAGTTTACGTGATTCGGAATACATTGGGATAATATTGAGAAACATTAAATAACAGCAGGAATTACAAATAACAATCAGCAAGGATTACGTATTCACGATTGCTCGCAACATTAATTGCTCAATCGAAACTTCTACGAAATTGAATAGCTATTATTTTATTCCACTCGGCAATTACAAATTTTTTTTACTGTACTAACGGCAGCATTATAATCTAATTAACTTACTTTTTCGAACGAATAGCACCAGCAATTCAACGATTGAAGAATTTTTCTCCAGCAACTTAGTTCATTTCGAGTTAGGTGCCAAACTCTTCAACGCATTATGAAAATGTTGCTCGTGTCGACCACCGGTTCTTCCAAATTGAAACAAATTCAAAATTTTCAAAACAACTACTTGAGAAGTCGAATAACTATAGACAACATGACGTAGAATAAATAGGTCCAGTTAATCTCGAAACTTGAATAAATTCTCTGTGAAGCAAATTTTACCTCATGCACATGACCGCAATCGACGCATACCACACCGGACAACGTCGCCTTCCCAACTGAATTGTTGATCCTTTTCGCGGTCTCGGATCATCCGTAGTCAGGAACATAAAAAAGGCAGAACCCAATTATGAATCTCGTTAGAAGCCGGGAACTAGCGAGCTCATTACTCCATTAGTGTACAAGACCCCCTAACAACTTCTGATGACTAGCAATTTGTCTCGGAAAACAGGGACTTCGAGTAACCGAGGAAGAGTTGTTTACAAGCTATACGTACCCGTTATGTATAGAAAAATAGTATTATGGCGTAGTATTGGTCGGTGGCTCTCATTGGGCCAATATATGGCAAAAATTTTTCTTTCGTTTACTTGATTTCCAAGATTTTTAAATATGACATTTTTAGACGCTTTTCATAAAACTTGTTGAGTTCCTCATGGTAATTTATCGATATCTTGTGAATCAAGTCACGAAAAGTTCAAGAATCGGCAACAGGCCATGGGCCTACTTCTTCAATGCCGACACTTCTTTTCTATCTTGATACTGCTTGCTGTATGACAGGAAAAGATATATACCGCTTGCCGTACGACATAAAATTACGGACGGCGTTATCGTCTCTTCCAAAAAGAGCTAGACAATCTCTATGCCGTGTGGTTTTCATTTATTTAGCGGATGACCCGTAGTTATCCTCCTATTGTCTAGTTCAAAGACATTTTTGTTCCATTATTACCAATGGCTGCTCTCTATGAAATCGTGGATTCTTGTGGAAATCGATCAAGGAATAATAGCATTTTTTATTAAGTACTAATGTCACATAGTAATTCAATTTAGAATCACTCGCGTCGCTCTTCACAGAACTCATAATTGAAGTCCCCTATAAGTTTAAACCATGACTGACCGACCACAATATTTTATATCCATTGGACAAAAGTGTAGTGTGCGATACCTTCAATGAACAATGACCCCGTTCGTATGCGAACAATGCTGAAAAAAGTTGTTGAATAACTTCTGAAAATTAGAGGCTTTCTTCAAAATTACAGAGGAAGGAAGACTAATACAAGTAACAAGGACTTTGTTTAATTTAATAAATCACACATCTGCAAAAAAAATCGCAATTTTCAAGCTTTTAATGCATGAACCTAGGTGCGATTTTTGGAGAAAATAATTAGGTTATAAGAAAATCAATTAAACAATTCTTAATATTGAAATTGGTAATAAAAAAATTTGTTCATTGAATATATTCGAGTAAAAAATAATAAAAAGCTTCCTAACATTATTTGAACCTTTTACTCTTTTTTGGAAGATTCGATGCTCACAAGTCTATTAAAATTATTACGTGGCACACGAGTACAAAAATATTTGGCAACAGTATTGAAGCTTAGCTTTGACATGCACACAATTAGACTGATACTAAATAAGATAATATTTAAATCCATTTATAGCTAATGAATGTGTCTCCAGGGCGATAGGTCAAGCCGGGTGAGCTGTCCACTGCCGCACCGCACCACAGGATTACTGTCAAGCAAATTAATAAAGTTATCCCTCGTCCATAAAACACATAATAGTTTATAATTCTTGACTTAAAGGCCGATATGGGAATTCACATAGTTTAGAAATAAATAACTATCCTGTATGTGAGAGCTGGGCAGCGCTACTTTGAAATGTAGCGGCCGCTACCGCTACATGCTCCAAATGTAGCGGGCGCTACCGCTATACCGCTACATTGGTTAAAATGTAGCGCCGCTACCGCTACTGAAAATGTAGCGCGCTACTGCCCACCTCTGCGAGTGACGGTGAGTTGGGCAAAGTGTTACACAACTACTGCCATTGACTATTGTATAAGAGTATGTTATACTCTGCACAATAGACTGAACACAACACACCAATGGTGTCCTTAAAATACTTTAGGTGTGAACTAGCGTGCACGAGTGCGTTATACTTTTTAAAAGAGGCTCTGAACATAGCATATCAAGAGTGTAGTTACTAATTAGTTGTGCACTTGGATAATAAAATGTTATACTTCAGTATAAGCTAAACACAGCACGCCAAGTGTGTTGTAAATACTTCTGAAATTGACTAGAGCGATAGTATGTTATACTCTTCAGAATTAGGTAAACATAGCATCTCAAGGTTGCAGTTAAACTCAACTAACATGTGGGGGTCGGCGAGCAACATAGGGTATCGCTGCACCTCCTCCACGCGGTCCGTGTTGTCGCACAGCACGCGTGCCAGACGTGTGGTCCTGATTGAGGCCAGTTGAGCTGTCAGGAAGAAACATGAATATCAACTGACGTGATATTCATCGTTTCATGTAAAGCTAATATTTGAAAAAAAAATGAAAATTTAAATTGGGATGTGTAGCGCATGGAACAGACGCCCTCCTCCGCAGAAACCTGCTACAAATCGAGTGCACAAATGGCACAAAATAATGAAGCAATTTAATAACCCAAATAAAGCGGCTGGTGAAGAAAAGCTTATATTAATTCAATACAATATTATTTCAAAACAATTTAATTAGGTTTACATTGTGATCAAAATTACAATTTAAAGTTTGATCACAGCCGAGCTGCGGAATTCTGCAAAAATTAGTACAGCCACTGATAAATTTCTTATTTATTTATATACCCTAAAAAATTCTTCATAAATTCAAGCTTGAAAGTTTATAAGTAGCTTCAAATCAGTCTCTGGGTTTAAAAATTACTATATAAGGCGTGAAAAATATATCAGCACACCCCAAATTACAGCGAATAAAAAGCTAACGAAGAGTGTCATATATACTCGCCGCGCTATATCGTAACCTAAACCTTTTGCAGGTCTCTGGTGAACATTATCGGCTTGCAGCATAATTAATCTGCAGCGTGTGCGTCAGCCTGATATGTGCAACAGCCTAGCGTGCACAGTCAGTTGCACTCTGACATCCCAAGTTTGAATTTGCTTTCATAAGGAGCTTGAATTCTATTCATTCCATAACTGTTGAGCATATAAATACGTGCGTTTTACAGACTTTTCTCTACTTGTAGTTCTACATTTATTAATTAAGAATTCAGAAACTTAACGTTCTTTAAAAAGTTATAGCTAAAACATACCAGGGGTGAAAGAAGACGGTTGTCCCGGCAGTTCGAACCAAAACCTGTCGCCTCTCCTGACCCTCTGCATTTGAGTCGCCACGATGCATGAGAACGTCGGCCCGAGCAGAGAACCCTCTAGGGGGCGTTCGGATACCCCGGCGCTCCAGAGGTCTATGTCGTCCACGTGACTGAGTCAAAGGTTTTATTAATCATCACAGTAATTTCATATATAATCATAGTAGCATTAAATAATATTAAAAGGATATATTAAATTCATAATGCGCGCAACAACAAACAAATTTACTATTCAAGAAATTCATGCGGACCGAATTCCAAGTATCCAAAATGAAATAATGTAACCTTTTAAGTGTAATGTTAGCCGAAAGTTTATTGGTGAAGATTTATGGCCAGAAACTAAATTAAATATTATTTTGCTTGGCAAACACTACATATAAGAGTGTTTTTGGACAGGAGAAACTAGCTGCATTAGCTTCTTATTCCTAACTAGTAATGTAAATTTATTTATTGTATTTCCACAACATAGTTCCATCTGCACCTGTAGACATCAGCATAGCGATGAGCTGTCACGTTCGTCATGACAGACGCGAGTTCATGGAAGTTTGTGATGGGTGGCAACCCGCAGAACTTCCTGAAGAAATAAAAACCTCATTCATAAAACCCGTTTTATCCTATTATGATTGTATTGTCCTTCTAATTAATAATTCATGAAAGAGCAATACAATGAATAGGGTTGTCTCATTACCCACTTTAAATGGTTTAGCTCTGGTCCAGAAATGATCGTACTTTAATTGAACATCGTAACTCACTTGCCTCAAACCCTATTGTATAATATATCGTATCAATATAATAATATTAAATAAATATATTATCAAACCCTAACTCAAATAGAATGAGTCTATCTCTGAACTTCCTCAATATTTTCTTTTTTCATCATGCCTAGTGAACCCAACGTCATTTTTAGCGCATTTTCTCATTTATGGAAAAAATGTACTATTGTGCTCGCCATGCCGTCTGTCTGTCTGTCCGTCTGTGACTTCAAGGTTTCGTCGACGAGAAAATGCGCTCTCTGTAACTCACTGCAGTGAGTACTGAATTATATTTTTTCATTTATGAAAAAATGCACTATTGTTCTCGCCATGTCCGTCTGTCCGTCCGTGACTTCATGTTTTCGTCGACGAGAAAATGCGCTCTCTGTCACTCACTTCAGTGAGTACTGACTTACATTTTTTTATAATAAGCTGCTCAACAATTGAATAACGTGTTACATACAGTGATATAAATTAGTGAATTCTTGTACAAATAGCACTGCATTTTTTGCAATTGTCTTAATGATTCTGACACATTTTAGCCCGACATGAGGGCGCGGACAGAGCTACGTCCGCTCTCTGCTCGTGCTGAGGATAAAAATGTGAGTCACTGTTCGGACAATGTGATGCATTAATTTTTTAAGTGTAGTTTGGATGATTCACCATCAGTTAGGATGACTCACCACCAGTTAGGATGACTCACCGCCAGTTAGGATGACTCACCACCAGTTAGATGACTCATCACCAGTTAGGATGACTCACCGCCAGTTAAGATGACTCACCACCAGTTAGGATGACTCACCACCAGTTAGTATGACNTTATCTTCAAGGTACACATGTAATTGGTTCTTGTTTTGTGGCGCACATGTAATTGGTTTGCACAAGTAAAATTAAAATCAACGAGACTATGCAATTCTAAACAGAAATTTATCACACCTGCCTTCGCACAACAAAATTTCAGTTGCATTCTGAAAATTTCATGAATGTCATTTCCTGATATTAAGCATTAATTTAAATATCAAGTTTCTTTGTCGAATCCTAAGCCTAACTGTACATTAACTCGTGTGTGATGGTGTCTTATGTGTTCTGTTGTTATACATATAGAATAAACCTATATTTATATTAAACTTAAACATATTGCTTTTATATAAAACTACATAAAATATGTTAAAAACCTCTTGTGTGATAGCATCATCCATAGCCTGGACAGGCTGCTTCGTCAGCCCAATGTAATACTCGTCCAGCACCCCCGCCCTGTACAGGTCGAACGGCTGCCGGATCAAACGGCTCAACCGCACCGAACCTGTCCGCAAACCGGGTTTAGAATTCTAAAGTTAAACCTGCAAACAACGAGTCTGAACGAGCAGCAAAGTCTTTTAAACAATACGATAGATGTATATGTTTTTTTTTCAACCAGAACAAATATTATTTTTTTACTATACCGTATACATGGTTTAGCAACATGAACAATACTGTTATTTTGCCACGATCCCTGGGTATTTGAATAAAAATTAAGGATACAAATATCGAGATGGTGTTCTGAACTCACCCATGAATTTGTTCGAGGGACTCCAGCGTTCAACTGCAGACGGCAGAAGTGAGTGACCGAACCTGAAGGCGGCCGTGATAAATGCGGCCGTCATGGAGGGGTCTGTGGCGGGGTCGTATCCGTCCCAGTAGCCCTGGAAAATTCAGAAATTAATATCAATGGGTGATGAAGATACGTAATACCCATTATATGAAGAGGATCTTTTAATTTAGATATTAGGAAAATTTTACATTTAAATATGGGAGTTTCAGAGGATAACGAAAATAGCTTTCGCTATCCTTCAGAGGATCGGAAAATAGTCAAATTCTAAATTTCGCTGAAATTTTAGGAATTACAGTTAATGGAAAAAGAATTTATGTATATAATTAAAAATGTGAAGATTTTACGTAAAATTTGATAAACATTATTGCAGTCATTAACAATTAACCAGAACACAATTTGAGTAGAGCTTCCCACTGGCGATCAAACCACGCCGCTACCTCAAACCAAAATTATGGATGTTTACAGTGAATGCAAATAAACCTGTACTAGTTTGTTTTGTATTGGAGGTTTAGCTAAATCAAAATTATGGAATGACCTCACAGATCGGCTAGACGATTCTGAAAACGCATATGTGGCTGTACGGTAAATATCCGATGTGTACGAAAAACTAAAAAAATATAACTCAGTACTCACTGCAGTGAGTGACAGAGAGCGCATTTTCTCGTCGTTGAAAACGTGAAATGTCGGACGGACAGCCAGACAGACGGACGGACAGACGGACATGACGAGCACAATAGCGCCTTTTTTTTCATAAATGAGAAAATGCGCTCGAAATTCCAAACATTCTCGTAAAAAATATTTCTTGCGAATCCTCTGTTTAAATCATAACAAATATCCAAATAAAAGACATAAAGAGTGAACATCACAACACGAAGCCGTATAAACATAACAATTTCTATGAGACCTGATGCTCCAAGGTTAGACCGTAGTTTCTCATGACCTTCTCCCCCAGCAGGAGCGGTAGGAACTCATGGAAGGTGATGTGTTGCACCATAGCACTGACGATGTGACGCGTCTCCTGTGTCAAGTACAGTCATTATTATTATACAAATATACAACGACATATGAAAAACAGTCGCATCGATAATTTTTACGTCTCCAATAATACTAAATCAATAATCGTGCTACAATAAATAATAATCGTGATCGGCAAAAAGCGTTAGATAATCTCATCATAAAATTTATGAACTTATTCATTTGATGATGGTGATAATCCACTCAGATAAAATAATTTGTCATATTGTCCAAATAGTGGCAAACTTTCTGCATGAACACTAATAGTTCACGTATATTTGCCAGGCAAAATTGGTTCAGGATGACCACACAAATGCAAGAAGTGCATCGTTATTTGGACAAAATCTTTTAATTTTCCTGAGTATAACATATTGAAATTCAGCATCACCTGGTAGAGTGTCTCGTCATCCCAGTGCGGATTAATGATCGAGAGCTCCTTGCATATGCGGTTGTGCTCCCGGAACCACAGCGTGTGGATCGTAGTTAAGATCAGTTGTTCGTTCACGCGGATCTCACCTACAGATTTACCAAAATTTAATTCCCACATGTCCCAACCTGAACTCAAAATTCAGTTTAAATTTTACGCGAATTCCGGAAATATTCGTCACTGATTCGTTCATCAGTGGTAAATTATCATCTTTCAGGGCTGTTAAATATGTCCACATTTTGAGTACAGTTTCAACAGATAGATAGTAGACATAGAAAAGAGTAGACTAAAAATATGTCATCCATAAGCAATTAAGGATTCAAATAAACGCTGTCGTTTTATCTGGAATTTCATTGGCAAACAATACCCATCAATTAGCAGATGACAAAAATTGTTTTCATAACCTGACTAAAAAAACTATATAGCGGCCTAACTAACCCGCCTTAACTTATAATTAACTGCCTAAATAACCCGTTTCCAAGCAGAACAGAATAGGGGATGAGAAACTAGCGGCCTCCCTAACCCGACTTATTTTAATTAATTGGCTGACTAACCCGTATCGAAGCAAAATATGGTTCGGGAGAAGAAACTAGCGGCCTCACTAAACAGCCTCGAAGCAAAATAGAGTTGGGTAGGAGGAACTAGCGGCCTCACTAACCTGCCTCAAAGCAGAACAGGGTTGGGGATGACGATCTCGTGCATCCCTCATCCACAAAGTCCGTCTTGGTGGGGAGCAGCTCCCTCAGCCCCAGGTCCTTGAAGACGTTGTTCATCTTCATGAGTCCCCCCACGCCCTCGCGCAGTCGGCTGAGCAGTCGAACAATGTGTTACAAATGTTGACGTTCAACCGCATTAAATTTTGCGTAGCTGATTAAAAATTGCACGCATAGTTGAAAACTGTGCAATTGAAGTATTTTTAAAATATTAATTTTGAACCTACTTAAATTGCATGTTGCTAATTGACAACTAGTACGCATAATGAAATAATTCAAAAGTACGTAAAAATTCATATGAAAAACGGTAGAATCATAGGCAAAAAGCTACGTTAACTCTCTTCGTGACGCTCGTTACGTCACTCACTTAGCGTGACGATGGCTGCCACCATAGACCGTGTTCACGTCTATAACGCTTGTCAAAATATTGAAGGGAGCTCTAACGCCAAGCTTGCAGTCTTGCCTAACGCCGGGCAACCCGCGAAAAAACTCCAAGCAGTCTTGATGGAAGAGCGAGTAGAACTGGTCATCTTTAGGCAGCCGAATCTCGAGACATTCTTGATGCTGCTGGTGCTCAGGGAGCACGCAGCAGTTTCTTTCTGGCTCATTGCGGGTCTCAGGATCTGAAAAGTTAAGAAAGTTGATCTTGATTCGCCAATAAATTTTATGAACTGAATAAACTACACCATTGGCATTAATATTGCATTAGAAATAACAATAGAACAAGAAACAATATGGCATTAGAAACAACAAACAATAAATAGTAAATAGTTGCAGGATTCAGAAATACATAACTAAATTCAATCTTGTATGAAATGTATTACTTCATCATTGTGAATCAAAGTTTGGTTCACGAACACCAAAAACCGAACACAACAATTAAACTTAAATTTGAAAAAAACTACTGAAAGGATTATTTCAATTGAATATATTAATTTTTTAAATAACAATTAATATTGGTTATGGACCTAGTGGAGTAGCAGTGAGTGTGAAGTCATGATCCATGAACTGCCCCCACGCTAGGAAGAGCAGCGAGATGGCGTGGTCGTGGTAGCCGTCGTCGCGGTGGATGTGAGCCGAGACGCGCCGCGGGTTGGGGAGGCTGGAGTACGGGTGTCCGACGCTCAGCCGCGGTGCCGCTATTCCGTCCGCGAACACTGGACTAATTAGCCTATAGGGACACCAAGTTTACTAAATTAGAAATGATTTAATAGTGAAGGCCATAAGAGCATTTATATTTTAAAGTTGTTCAGTAGCGTGCATTTCCAGAGGATATCAAAGTTCGTTATTCAAAGAATATGTTCACTCCTGGAAGAGATATTGTAGCAAAAATATAGTATCTGGCCTATCGTCAGACCATTAATGGACCAGACTTGCTAAATATATCACCGGGGTTGCACTATTAAAACTTGCTCCAGTGATCGTAGCTCCCTATTTATTTGTCTGTGATTGGAAGATTTAGCCGAGAAAGCCGTCAGTGATTGGCTGACAGATTCCCAAACTGGTAACTATTTAAGATAGTACGGCCCTTTGTGCCTTCTTAGGAGTGGGGCTATCGGCAGCCTACCTACTTGTAGAAGACAGTCCTGGTGGCGCCCCAGGTAGTGGGCCAGCCCATGAATGAACTACCCACCTGTTGAAGACAGTCCTGGTGGCGCCCCAGGTAGTGGGCCAGCTCATGAATGAACTACCCACCTGTTGAAGACAGTCCTGATGGCGCCCCAGGTAGTGGGCCAGCCCATGAATGAACTACCCACCTGTTGAAGACAGTTCTGATGGCACCCCAGGTAGTGGGCCAGCTCATGAATGAACTACCCACCTGTTGAAGACAGTCCTGGTGGCGCCCCAGGTAGTGGGCCAGCCCATGAATGAACTACCCACCTGTTGAAGACAGTTCTGGTGGCGCCCCAGGTAGTGGGCCACCGCTCATGAATGAACTACCCACCTGTTGAAGACAGTCCTGATGGCGCCCCAGGTAGTGGGCCAGCCCATGAATGAACTACCCACCTGTTGAAGACAGTTCTGATGGCACCCCAGGTAGTGGGCCAGCCCATGAATGAACTACCCACCTGTTGAAGACAGTCCTGGTGGCGTCCCAGGTAGTGGGCCAGCCCATGAATGAACTACCCACCTGTTGAAGACAGTCCTGGTGGCGCCCCAGGTAGTGGGCCAGCTCATGAATGAACTACCCACCTGTTGAAGACAGTCCTGGTGGCGCCCCAGGTAGGATGCAAAAGATTGTTGCAAAGGCCGTCATGGCGTCGGTATCGCGTGGGCACACACGTCATCGGTGACGCAAAATCCGGACACACTTCCGCCACGGCCGTGTGACTCACGTCCAGTCGCGGCAACTCGTAGAAAATCTCGTAACTCGACAAAGAAAATCTGGAGATGGAAGAGGCATTCTTAGTTGAGAGGGTAAAACTATAAATTAGGAGTGTTGAATGCGACCATAAGAAATTTGGAGGCTATGTGTAGTTATAACAGAACACGCGATGCTATAAATATAAGTAAAAAAAATGTATATAAGTCAAGTGATTTCATGTGAAAAATTAAACGCGAATCTTTCAAAAATAGTATATCTAGAACACATGAAGAACGATCAGTTTTACCAAGCGAGATTAATTTAATAGTTACGAGCATGATGTGTAAATATCTAACTACATTCACTACGGAATCTCTTATTTTGGATAGAAGCAAATCATAAATTGGAGCATTTTAGCTTCTTCTTTCAGTTATATAATTAAATCATAGATAGTGGCTATCCTTAGTATCCTTAGTGCATTTTAGCTTCTTCTTTCAGTTATATAAGTAAATCATAAATAGTGGTTGTCTAGCTTCTTCTTTTAACTAAAAAAGTAAAAAATAAAATATGAATAAGAGCAGACTAGTTTCTTCTTCTAATTATAAGCAATTCGTTGTCAGAAGAGCTCTAACCTTTGGGCCAGAATTCTGGAGGTATCGAGCAGTAGCTGCCCCACCGGTGCTACCGTCTCCGGGGTGTACTCATCGTGAGGGGGCGTGATGGGGGCTGTAAACCAAGACGTGAAAATCAAATAAAATCAAATATCGAAAGGAAAATATAACATGCAAAAGCAAAAATATTATGCCAAGGAGAAAATATCATGCGAAGAAAAAAAAATAATATACGAAGGAAATAATATAACGCAAAGGAAAAAGTATTATACAGAGAAAAAATTTTCAAGCGAATGAAAAAATATTATGCTAAGGAGAAAAATCATGCGAAGAAAAAAATAGCATGCGAAGGAAAAAATATTAGATCAAAAGAAAATAACCTGAAACAAGGCGCAATAAGACATGAAACAGGAGGGGAATCAAGGTGGTATAGTAAGCGCGAAGAAATAATATAGATACCGTATTTATATTTTATACCGTAACTGGACGAAGTCTGCACGCTAGTCAATATCTTACGGGTATTATGATTTTGCTCTTTTCTGCACAGAATACTTTTGTTTTCTCTTTCATTGATTGAAAATAATTCATTTCGGAATTAGCACCGTTTTTTAATTACTCCTAAAACGCTTAAAAATTTGTTATGTTATTAGCCTCTAGTGATTTTACCTCACGTTATCGATTCAGTTCAAAGCTTGATAACCACTTGTAGTTCAAACATTAAAACATATTTATTCACATACAGAATAAGGCTTTCTTTGGTTAATCAATCATCTACCAATGTAAAATATAGTTCATCAATTTCACAAATTAAACTAAATAATAATCATATAATATAAAAAGTTCCACTTTTTCTAAACAAGAAGTTCATAAAAAACTTCCAAACAAATTTAGACAATAAAAAGTATAACTTTTGCATAATCAAGAGTTATACTCACGTAACTTGCTTCGCGCCAGTTCGAACGCTGCGTTCACGTCCCCATGCGTTATGCATACGCTGCTGCCGAACGATCTGGTCACGAATTCGCGAAAAACATCATAACAATTTGTAATTTGAAAAACTCAATTACGAACATATATGATCACCGCTTAATGAAAGACAAAAATTGCACTGATTTCAGTAATAAGTCTTGATAAGGTGAGAAGAGTGTTGATGTTAAGAATCAGCATTATGATTTATTGCATGCTATTGAGAGAGGAAAAATATGTTTCCTTTAGCTGACAACAGTAAAATAGTAGAAAATAACATCAGCAATGATTAAATCGAATTAGAAGCAAACAATGTAGGTAAATCTATCAATAGAATGCCAAGGAGAAAATATCATGCGAAGAAAAAAAATAGCATATATTTTTCTTATAATGACTAATAATTAAATAATAATAACTACTAATACTAAATAAGATGTAAAAATATTAAATGTAAAAAGTGACACACTTTAGCAAAGTGCGGATGTAATACTGACACGTTATTTTTGCCGGGCCCAACTGGGTCAGGAAGAGTACCAAAGTGTATCGCTATTCGGACAAGGTCTCTCTTAATTTTATTAGTGTGGAGTATTGCACGCTGATGCTCATGACACTCCCGTATTATGACACATCCTTATTATATAACACCCGTATTATGACTCACCCGTATTATCATATGACACATTCGTTTTATGACATATATTTATTATATAACACCCGTATTATTGCACACCCGTATTATGACACACCTGTATTGAGACACATCCGTATTAAAACTCACTTGCATTAAGACACCCATATTATGACACACCCGTATTATGACTCTCGCATTATATAAGCATGACACACACATATTATGATACACCCGTATTGCGAAACTCCCTTTTTACGACACACCCATATTACGACACACCCGTATTATGACACACCCATATTATGACACAACGTATTACGACACACCCATATTATGACACCCGTGTTACGACACACCCGTATTATGACACACCCATAATATTTACACACCCGCATTATTACGCTTCACTCTTTTGACGCACCCGTATTATGACTCCCGCTTTATATACTCATGACACACACAGACACACCCATATGGGAAGATGGAGTTGGGTGCGTAGGGCACGACGGGTGCCCGGGATAGGTACAGCGCGCACTCGTGTGTTGCCCTGGCGACCTCCACCACCAGCAGCGCCGCCAGCAGCAGCCACCAGGGGCCTGGTACCTCGCGCGCCGCCATGTCATGTCGGCGCAGTCCAGCCATCATCTACAGTTAGTTGTGGTGATAATACTTATATCATTATGATTATTTGTAATAAAATACTAATGATAATAATTAGTAATCAAATAATAATAACTAATAATACTAAATTAGATGATAATTAAATTAGTAATAATGTCACTTGTTTGCTTTAATCGCAAATTCACTAAAAACTTAAAAGCAACAGTGACTGCAAAGTTTTAGCTTCCAGTTCCGGTGTTTCTGATTTGCGCATTTTAGAATCATTGTATATTTTTAAACAGAGGCCTAGTTTGAATTTAGCTTTTAGCTCTTACCCGCTTGAAATTATAAATAGATAGGTTTTACAGCTTAGGTTTTTTGTTGCAATCATGACTGTACTAATTAATGATTTATCTGTGTTCTAGAATTTTCGAACTGACGATGGAGCTGGACTCCGAAACGTTTTCTTTAAAGATACTATGAATTTTTGTGGAGTTTTCTTTGCTTTTAAGTTTTTGATAATTAAATTAATAACAGTGTTATTTAGAATTACGATTGATACGATTATTTAGATTAGTATCGATACTCTTGATAATGAATAATAATTACATAATAACAACTAATAATACGAAATTAATATACAAATAAAATAAATGTAATTAGTGATAAATACTTTTCAAATAAAATAATTAAGAAAAATGTAAATAATTTTTGTAATTATTTAATAATCAATAATAATATTAATCCATTGTAAGAGTCCAAAATAAAAGAAATATGAATTGTTGAGGCTTCTCGTGCACAACTGATTACATCCCTTAATTAACGCTGTAATAGGAGGAGCCAATGTCATTCAGTAGACAGAACGTTTATTGACCTACGACAATACGCAACCTTTGAATTAGCTACTCGTTTCCTTAAGATTATTGCCTGTTCGAAATTTCCCGCAGTTCCTCCGATGATTCGGTGAGCTAATTTATTTTGATCTATTTCTTTCGTATGTTATATTCTTGAACCATATTGTTAAATATCTCGTTAACCTGTTTATCTCGTATCACAAAATTGTCGTGTCTGCAGAAACTCACCATCAATAAATGCAGAATAAATGCATATGCGCTGAAACGCCAGTTTCTGGTCTGAATCGGCAAGGAGGCCGGGCGGTTAAGCATAGCAGAATTGTAGCAGTGAGTTGCGAGTTCGAGACCGCAAAATGTTGTGAATGTTCTGTGATGTTAAGAATCGGCGACAGGCCTACGGCCTAATAACGCTGAAACCGCTATTATCATTATTATATAATAAACCTGATAAAAGTGTCGAATCATCTTATTACTTTTATGAAACTTTGGGGAAACCTTTATATGCCTACTTACCCATGTCAACCGGCGACATTTCAGTTTAACATTCATTTGAGTTACAACATCCTTAGAAGGTAAGGAATTCATTGAGGATTTCAAATTAATCAGTATAGTGATGTTAGAATTAGCCCAGTATGTATATTTACTTACGACAAGATATTTGTGAACTTTGCGATGTCCGAGGAAGCTACGATATTCGTAAAACTACGATATTCATTGAAGCTACGAAAGTGGTAGTAGATATTATGACTTTCATGGAAGCTCCGAAGTTTGCGTACGTTACCATACATAATTTTCTACGTTCGAAACGTTGTAATACTCCGTAGAAGCAACGATAGTCATGCAAGATATGATATTATTGTCAATAATCATTTTTGTGTAGGTTCATGTAACGATAAAGTGAATAGAAGTAAAATTAATTTTACGTTGAATTAAAATGTTTTTCGGTAATAAAATTTCCCAGCTTGATCAGGAAAATTACATTAAACGTATTAATAAGGTATGTCTGAATATGATAATGGTAATTAAAAATTAATCATAATTATTAACGATTGTTTATTAGGAAAATCATTGCCCAGTCTGAACATTATTTTAATAATCAATCACGCACAGAGTTATAGGACACGAAAATTTTCTAGTGTTAATTAAAATTTTTTTATAGAATTTTGCATTTCAAACAAATTTATTTTAATATATAGTCAAACAAATATAATTGATGATAATCTCCATTCAAGCGACATTTTTAAAATTAGTGTGAAAAGTTTGAGTGTAGAGACGAATCTCACTAGGTTGTTGTCAAAATTGACGCACCAGGAACGTACAGTTCGACCACGCGTCAATTCTACTCAACTCACCTTAACTCAACGTCCACACACAACAGAGGTTCAGAGCTGACTGAACACTCGAGTGAAACTGAAATAACTGTAGCAGCAACACGGCTGATGTATAGCGACTTTTGCTCTACTCTTAAAGACATTAGCGAAACTTTGTCCTAATAGAGCTATACATTTTGCCTCTGGTAGATCATCCTTATGGCCCCCAAAAAAAAAAGAGATATCAGGCTACGAGCAGATAGTGTGTCACAATGTGAACAGTACGACGACCCATTCACTTTTTCAATGCATTTGACGTCATGCAAGCAATAACAGCAAATACATCAGAAACATATTCTTCAGCGCCAACACAGTTATGATGGTCACATGATACACAATTGTCGCATATATCAGTAATTATACTATTTGCGGCATTTGCAGAGTAGGTAATAGCAGAGTAGCTAATAGTAGAGTAGATAATGGCAGAGTAGCTAATAGTAGAGTAGATAATGGCAGAGTAGGTAATAGCAGAGTAGGTAATAGCAGAGTAGCTAATAGTAGAGTAGATAATGGCAGAGTTGGAAATAGCAGAGTAGGTAATAGCAGAGTAAGTAATAGCAGAGTAGGTAATAGCAGAGTAGGTAAAAGCAGAGTAGGTAATAGCAGAGTAGGTAATAGCAGAGTATGTAATAGCAGAGTAGGCAATAGCAGAGTAGGCAATAGCAGAGTAGGCAATAGCAGAGTAGGTAGCTTTAAAACCCACAGTAGCAATGTTATTGGTAGTAACGCTGCAACTGATACCGAATGCAGAAATTAGCATAACTCTAAATAATGCAAATATAGAGTTCGTAATAGCTGGGATGAAAGCAAAAACAAGTACACCTATAAATATCGCCGCAGTAAGTGAAGTTGCATATTGCCACAGTGGCAGCAGTACTTCCTGCAGCAGGTGCAGTACTGAACACTGCGGCAGTGACAGCAGTACTAGTACCAACAGTTGCAGTACTGCAATCCGCAGCAGTAATTACACTCGCAATTACAGTCCTAAAATCCGACGTAGTGGCCGCTGTATCGCACCATCAGGTGCAGTACTGAAAGCTGCTGCAGTGGCAGCACAAATGGCCTCGGAGCGCGCGCGTTAGACCGCGACGACGCATTATCTCGTTAAAATTCAAGAAATTCAATAGATCGCTCCTGGAAACATTTTCTCCTTATTCATCACACACTCAAAGTAAATAAAAAACACTGCAGTGAAAGCAGAGTCCGCCCTGGACGCTAGCGATTTGTATAGGACCATGGAAGTTAATTTTAAGCGAACCGACCGACATAAAACAATGCAATAAAAATTGAGCAATCGCGCGCGCCAGCACTCTATGTGAACATTTCTAATGTGAAGTGTTGATCCAGCAGCAGCCTTGCTTTCAAGGTGAAATCAATCTTATTACGTTTGAATTCTCAGCACGAATTGCAAAACGGTAAGCGTACTGCAAGAGCATAAACACGATTTGAATTATGAATATCAAAAATTCACAATATCTTTTCTCAGAATTTCATGTACTCCTCAACCTCATTTTTTACTTGGAGTAACATCATTTGATATGCATGATTAATACTGCAACAAGTCTGAAACAATATTTTCATTCTATACACAGGATTTCAGATAGCAATGGAAGTATAAAATGACACAATATAATAAACCCTGTCATGGCTGGAAATGAAACTTCTGCACCAAATATTTCTTCAATAGATAAAAAATATCGAGCACTTCAAGCTGTACTAAAATATTATACAGGTGCAGCATTTTGGAGAAGGCAAATTGGTTACACCGAAAACACGGCTTACTCGCACACCCGAAACATAGAACAAATACAATAGTGTGGTGCAGTGGTTCTAACCATTTTATGTTAGAGTATCACTAGAAAGATCCATACAGTGTACAATTACCACGTGCCACTTAGTACCATAGCATACCACTAATGCTACATATTCTCATTGATCGCACATATCTTTCCCAAGTTTTTTGTATTTGTTTGTGAGTTTGAAGCCTGGCACCGCAAATATATAGGGGCTTTCGGAGAGCGTATCCAGTATACTTACCTACCGCTTCGGGATATTGCTCGATATTTATTTTACTCAAATGGATAAGAAACTCGTATTTAGGGACGTTACTCCTATAGAGAAGGAACTTGTTCGTAGGAACAGTAATCACATGGAGAAGGAACTCGTTCGTATGAACAGTACTTCTGAGAAGGAACTCGTTCGTATGAACAGTACTCCTAAGAAGGAACTCGTTCGTATGAACAGTACTCCTGAGAAGGAACACGTTCGTATGAACAGTACTCCTGAGAAGGAACTCGTTCGTATGAACAGTACTCCTGACAAGGAACTCGTTCGTATGAACAGTACTCCTGACAAGGAACTCGTTCGTATGAACAGTACCCATTTGAATTAGTTATGTCACTTAGGAGAACTTCAAGAGACGACTGGTCCCTCATAGTCCGCCGCTGCACCACCACCAGTGGCGAGAAGCGAGCAACAGCATCGTGCATCAGCTGACCCAAATGCGCCATAGTCAGAGGCGGCGATCCATCGTGGCCTGCTGGGACTGCTACGTCCGAAACATATACCAAGGAAACTAAGGATTACACGCTCGAATGTGTTCGGGTTGGGTTAAAGAGAGACCGGGCTGGTAAAAGAAATCTTAAGCAAAATCAAATAAGCCTAACCAATTACAGAGGTTTGGTTCTTCTGCATTTCATTCTAGAAAATAACAACATATTTATGTAAACTTTCATAAACGATTCATAACAATACAATTCTCATGAAAACGATTCATAGCAATACAAGGCTCTAATTCTTGTAAATGTTCCATCAGCTTTTTTCCAGAGATACGACATCAGCATAATTCCTTTATATACTCTCGCTCAATGCCAGACGTACAATCAGAGATAATTTCCTTTCTAAGGGTTTTTGAATCAGACAATATAGGTTGCTTTCAAGTTTCAACACATTTCAAAACAATTGGAACCGTTTTTTTCAAGTTCCAGAGAGTAAGGTAATGCAAGTAAGGTAATGCAGGACAATAATATGAGATCCTGTGATAAAGAGTTATGCTGAAAGACAATTTTTTTCAGCTTGTAACAAAATTCTAACATCAGTAAACACAAATTTCTAAATAGTAGGTACCAATATCAATCCGTTACGAATCGTAAATAAATGGATTTATCAAACAAAAATTATAGAGGTGTGGGTTATAGCTACATTATCATCGAGCTTTGTACTGAAATATTTATTTGACAATATATTGACGTCTCTAAAGCGTCCAACTGATGGTCAGGTAGCAGGATCAAGCGGGGTGACTACCGGGTACATACCGTACCTACACAACGAAGGCCCATTTGTTCTAAACCAATATTTTATCTTAAATGTACAAAATATTGCTTCAGATAATTTTTCGACCCATGGCTGAAATTTTACAAGAATACCAAGTGAAGACATTTCCAAATTGCTAGATCAACAACTGTATTATAGAGACGATTTCAACTGCCAACTTTTTAAAATAATATTTACTTCTCATGAAATTAAATAACCCTACCGCAATCGCCTACAGAAATATGTATATGGTACAATATTTTCAGAAATCCATTTCTTTAAAATTTCCATAACATTTAAAGCAATTAACAAGACAAGTGGGATCTTTAAAGTAAATCATAACTAAAAAAAATCAAGACGCTTCAAATCAAATTTCAAAACTACAGGAACTGCTTGTACTTGACAGCTCTGGGCACGCGATTGATAACCAATCTGCCATCATAACTTAGAGACGCAAATGTCCAAAAGTCTCCAGCCGACCACTCAACCGCATAAACCGAGTCTTCATGTTCTTCATAGGTTTGAATAACTCCCTCAGGTATGTTGCTGTCAGGGTTACTGCCGTTCACTTCTTCTGACTGCATATCACCAAAAGGCATAGCAGCTACAGAAGGCAAGTTAGCCAGCGCCACCCTCTGATCACTAGAGCAAGTCAAGACCAGCTGGTCATATGAAGCATTATAACGAACACTCCACACCCAATGAGTGTGGTGACCAAGCACCAGCAACGGTGCAGTGGTTTTGCGAATGTCCCAAAACTTGCTTGTGCAGTCATCGCCACATGTAGCTAAATTGTATTGTAAATTTGGATTGAAGTCCAAATCTCTACAGGTGTGAGTATGAGCGTTTTCAATACTCCATGCATTCGTCATAGTTCGCGTATCCCAAGCAACTACCGATGACCCTAGAGTAGCTGCAACTTGTACAGCCTGCTGATGAGGATACCAGCGGCCCACTCCCAAGCTGTTGCTGCTGCTTCTTCCTGGGTCAGATGCTAGAAAATTATCCACAGTGTTGGAAGACACAACAGCAGCAGAGCCATCTTCTTGCACATTCCAGAGTATTAGGTTTTTTGATGTTAATGTTGCAATTTTGCTATCACTGTCACAGCTCCAACCAACCCATTTTACTCCATGAAACATAGAATCATCCTGTGAACTAGTATTTTCAGACAAATTTGCAACGAGTTCCAACTCTTCATGAGACTCGTCCTGTTCTTCACTGCTGGCACCTTTCGGCAAGCGCCAAATTGAACAAGATGCATCAGTCAAGGGTTTGTCAGCCGAGTTATGTACTGTTGCCAAGAGACAGGCAGTCTGGGGGGCACTGGCAATTTTCCAGACTTCTCCAACAGGATGAGTGTAGCTTTTTTTTGTAACTATTCCATTGTCATCATCATCATACTCAATAAGTTGCACTTGATTGGTATTGTGCAGGGACTGAGTGCCCACAAGAAAATTGATCTTCTCAGTTTCAGCAACTTGTGCAGCCAGTGCTCTGGCCTGGAAGTCTTCAAGACCATATATGACAGGTCCAACATCCATTATGGAAAGATAAATAGTCTGAAAAAATATAAATAAAGTCTATTATTCAAGTATTAAATTTTTAAAAGTCATTAAACTATTAAAAAATATACACATTACGGTACATGATATAAGAAAATAGCCATCATTTTCAAACAAAACTTCTGTATTTTAAATATCAACCAATTAAAATAATATTAAATATAACCAAAGAGTCACAGACTGTCCACACTCCACAGTGAGGAGTGAATGATTTAGGCTAATGACTTAGTTAATGTGATTATCATGAAAAAGAGATATTAAAAAACATAAAAGAAATAGAAAAAGCTTTCAAATGATAAGTTAAGTAAGCTAGAATATTAATATTTACCTCAATACATATAAATTAATATATAGGTAATTCCCACTTCCCAGAATAGGTATATAATATTGGTATATCAGCTTACTTCACATAGGTAGATGCTCCGTCCAGACCACAGACAATCATGAAGTGAGAAAGAACAAGTATGGCCTATAGTATAGGCATATCTTGAACATTACTAGAATTTCCCAACCATTGTCTGTACAATCCTGAAAAAATAAAAAATTTATGTATTGTATACATATACAAATAATACAACACATTATAAAAACACATAAAAAATTGTAGTTAAAGTTTTAAACTAATTTTCTAGAGGAGATATAAACAATTTTGAAGTTAAGATATCATTGTCTATTGTCAAGGTAAGTATTTAATCTTATCCTAGTGATGTGTATACCGTAAAATGGGGTAACTTAGACCACTTTTTTCTTTATAAATGATGCCATTTTTTTACTAGCTAAATTAAACTTGAATTGAAACATGCAAAATACAGGTCTATACTCTAGCTTCACTCACCATAAATTGCTGGCTCCCTCNCGACTGTAAAGCATGGCACAACATAGGTCGAGGACGCCAATTTCATACACCAAAGATGCCAAGGTGGATGCCACTGGACACCAGTTGCCAATTATGCTTTTCCGTAAATCGCAATTTACTATTGATATGGCTGATGCGCCGTATTGATCTACATGCCATGATCGTAACTAGGTGTTGCAGGGCGTAGTTCCGATGGCTGTGAGAGCTACATTTTAGCACCCAAGCATACGTGCTCATAGCCACCGGAACTATGCGCTGTAGTGTGCAGTTCTGATGACTGTGAGAGCGTATATTTGAGCACCCAAGCATTCGTGCTCAGAGCCACCGGAACTATGTGATGTAGCATGCAATTCTGATGGCTGTGACAAGACTGTATATATGAGCAATATGAGCATCCAAGCATACGTGCTCAGAGCCACCAGAACTACTCAATGTAGCGTGCAGTTCTGATGGTTCTAAGTGCATATACTTGAGTGCTTGCATTGAGAGAGCCTCACGGCACTGAAACAAAGCAGCTTGTGATAAACCATTTTTAATAAACAGATAGTACATCATTAGTCTTGTCACCTGAACCAAGCCAACTGAATTCAACCTCACCCAATTCATCCCAACCAAATTCAAACAACCAAATCTAACTGAACCCAACCAAATTTAACTGAACCCAAACCATTACAACTCAAGCCAATTCAACATAATCCTAACCAATTCAACCCAAGCCATTACAACCCAAGCCAGTTCAACCCAAACCAATTCAACCCAGCCCAACTGATCCCAATTCAACCCAGCCCAACTGATCCCAATTCAAATCAACCCAATCCTTCCCAATGCAACCCAACCCAATTCATCCTAACCAAATTTAATCCAACCCAATCTAACCAAACACAACCCAATTCAACCAAAACCAATTCAACGTAACCCAATTGATCCCAATTTAAATCAACCCAATCCTTCCAATGCAACCCAACCCAATTCATCCTAACCATATTTAACCCAACCCAATCTAACCAAAACCAATTCAACCCAATCCAATTCAACCAAAACCAATTCAACCCAACCCAATTCAATCAAACTAAATTCAACCCTACCTAACTCAATTCAATCAAAATCAAGTTAAACTCAACCCAATTAAACCATATTCAACCAAAACCATTTTAACTTGTTCCAACTTGATTCAACCCAATTTAATCACACCAACTCAATTCAACCCAACCAAATTCAACCCTAATCAAATCATTCCAGCCCAATTAAAGCCAACCTAATTCAGTAAAATTAAATAGACTGGATCAGAACGTGTAAGAATGCATTGAGATTTTATTTGATTGCACTAGATTTCATTGCAATACATTAGAATGCACTAGAATGCATTAAATTTATTTAGGGTATATTAGATTTCATTAGGTTACTTAAGATTGCATTAGAATGCTTTAGATTGCAGTAGAAAGTGTCAGTTTGAATTTGAATGCATTAGATTGTATTAGTTTATATTAGATTGAATTAGAATGCATTAGATTGTGCATTAGAATGCATTAGGTTACATTAGATTGCCTTAGGCTACATTAGATTGCCTTGGGTTACATTAAATTGCTTTAGAGCACAATAGATCACGTTAGAACGCTATAGGTCGCGTTAGAACGCTATAGATCGCGTTAGAACGCAATAGATTGCGTTAGAACGCAATAGATTGCATTAGAATGCAATAGATCATGTTAGATCGCGTTAGAACGCTATAGATCGCGTTAGAACGCAATAGATTGCGTTAGAACGCAATAGATTGCATTAGAATGCAATAGATCATGTTAGAAAGCAATAGATCGCGTTAGAACGCTATAGATCGTGTTAGAACGCTATAGATCGTGTTAGAATGCTATAGATCGCGTTAGAACGCAATAGATCACGTTAGAACACAATAGACTGCGATGGAATGCAATAGATTGTGTTTAAATGCAATAGATTGCATTTAAATGCAATAAATCGCGCTAAAATGCAATAGATCTCGTTAGAATGTAATAGATTGTGTTAAAATGAAATAGATCAAGTAAGAACGCAATATATATCGCGTTAGAGCGCAATATATCGCGTTAGAACGCAATATATCACGTTAGAACGCAATATATCGCGTTGGAACGCAATAGATCGCGTTAGCACGCAATAGATCACATTCGAATACAATAGAAAACGTTAGAACACAATAGATTGCGTTAGAACACAATACATTGCGTTAAAACACAATAGATCGCGTTAGAACGCTATAGAACGCAATAGATCACGTTAGAACACAATAGATCCGTTAGAACACAATAGATCGCGTTAGAACACAATAGATCGCGTTAGAACACAATAGATCGCGTTAGAATGCTATAGATTGCGTTAGAACACAATAGATCGCATTAGAACACAATAGATTGCGTTAGAACGCAATAGATCACGTTAGAATACAATAGAACACGTTAGAGCACAATAGATTGCGTTAGAACACAATAGATTGCGTTAGAACACAATAGATCGCATTAGAACGCTATAGAACGCAATAGATCACATTAGAACACAATAGATCACGTTAGAACACAATAGATTGCGTTAGAACACAATAGATTGCGTTAAAATGCTATAGATCGCGGTAGAACGCAATAAATCACGTTAGAACACAATAGATCACGTAAGAACACAATAGATCACATTAGAACACAATAGATCGCATTAGAACACAATAGATCGCGTTAGAACACAGTAGATCGCATTAGAACGCTATAGAACGCAATAGATCACGTTAGAACACAATAGATCGGGTTAGAAGGCAATAGATCACGCTAGAAAACAATAGAACACAATAGATTGCATTAGAACACAATAGATCATGATAGAACGCAATAGATCACGTTAGAACACAATAGATCACGTTAGAACACAATGGATCACGTTAGAACACAATAGATCGCGGTAGAACGCTATAGATCATGTTAGAACATGATAGATCATGTTAGAACACGATAGATCACGTTAGAACACAATAGATCACGTTAGAACACAATAGATCGCGTTAGAACGCTATAGATTGCGGTAGAACGCAATAGATCACGTTAGAACACGATAGATCACGTTAGAACACAATAGATCACGTTAGAACACAATAGATCGCATTAAAACACAATAGATCGCATTAGAACACGATAGATTGACAAGTTTTTTCAGCAGTAGCATTGGGCTTGCCAGACGTTTGCACATTGTGATCGGGTGACAGATACAAGCAATCAAACAAGCTGAAGATGGGTGCGGTGACAGCGGGGCTTATCGAGCAATCTATAGTTTATGATCGGTCATGGCTGCCTGAGCCATAGTTTATGATCGGCCATGGACGCCAATTTAAGGTCGATGTGGCTGATGGAGAGCTTGAAAAGACGCCAATATCTCGAGCTGAAAGGCCCTACTCTACAGCCTGGGTCTAAGTTACCCCATTTTACGGTATACCGCCACCGCGTTTACCCTACTGACACTTTATTACTGACATCTGGCAGACTGGCACTTTATTTTTATTACCAATTTGATGAATTTTTCAGACAATGACACTGATGGAATATTCATGAAGCATTTAGCAGTGCTCTACAATGAACTAAAGCTGGCCCAACCCACTATTACTATGCTTAACAAAGTTTTCTTATGGCAAAAACTTCAATGTGACTGATATACAAGTTCTCAACAAAGAGTTGTGCTCAGGCTGGGAGGTGTGATATATTCATACCCGAAGTCTTAAAATCAATTATAAAAAATGTGACTGATATTAGACTATTTAGAGTTGACTTCCTGCAACACAAAACAGTAACAAGTGGTTGTTTAATCAAATAATGTGTTTCTAGATGCATAATATTGAATATCAGATTTCTACTTTTACTAAAAACCTTGTAATATAAGAATTACCAGTTGGTCCTTCTTACCCCAGCCTGATCCCATCTTACCCCAATGGGGTAAGATGGGACCACTAAATGATCCTGTTTTACCACACAAGTGGTCCTGTCTTACCTCACAAATGGTCCTGTCACCCCACAAATGGTCCTCTATTACCCTACAGTTTATCAAAAATAGTTTTTAAATAAATATATTATTATGTAGTACATATCCAGAGAATTTTGCTCAAAATTTTTATCTTTTGCTCAAACTTCATTATAACTTGTTAGCTTCTTTAATTAGAGAAATTTAGTGCACTACCGGTATTTTAAATTGCATCAAAGGGATATAGAAAATAGGGATGTCTATTCCCATTAGTGAGCTGCAGAACTATGTGCAAGATATGATAGGGGAAAAATCACTGTGTGAACCATGAAAAAATGATTATGATCACAACTCTGTAACAGGGCATGAGCTATGTTTGAAGAAGCACACCACAAATGCAGTTAGCAAAAAAACACATGACATCTGACACTTTTTATTACTGACACTTTATTACTGACATCTGGCACTTTATTTTTATTACCAATTTGATAAATTTTTCAGACAATGACACTGATGGAATATTCATGAAGCATTTAGCAGTGCTCTACAATGAACTAAAGCCAGCCCAACCCACTATTACTATGCTTAACAAAGTTTTCTTGTGGCAAAAACTTCAATGTGACTGATATTAGACTATTTAGAGTTGACTTCCTGCAACACAAAATAGTAACAAGTGGTTGTTTAATCAAA